CCGGGGGGCACCAACTGCGGGGACGGTCCGGCCGCCGGACTGGGCACCATGTCCACCACCAGCCTGACCGGCCGCGCCGCCGGGGAGGCCGGAGGTGGGAAGGCTGCCACCGGAGGCGCGCGCCGGTGCCGGCCGCGCTGCTGCATGACCCGCCGGGTCGGAGCCCTACTGGTGGGCAGCGCGTCGCTGGCCATCCTCGCAGCCTCAATGACCGCTACCGTGTTCGGCATCGTCTCTGCGCCGGACTCGCCACAGGCCCTGGCACGGACGCCCATCTCCCTCACCGGCACCAAGTTCCGCACCGGTATGCCACGTAAGAAGGGCTCCAAGAACATCGGCGGCATCCCGTCGTCGGGCGGTCTGCGCGACCCGGCCTCGGGCGGCGGCGGGGTGCCCTCCGAGCTCGACTCTGAAGACGAGGAGGAGGAGGAGGGCCCGGCGCTGATTGTGGTGTCACCGAGAGGCCGAGGCCGCGGCAGTGGACAACTGGTGGGTGCCGCCGGCGGCGGGCAGCTCTTCTTCCAGCCGAACGAAGACCACCGGCCGGTGTACATCATCCGGCCGGGGAGCGGTGCCGGCGCCGGGGGCGTCATCGTCACCTCGCCCGGAGAGGCCGTGGCCTCAGAGAGGATCGAGCAGACCGAGGACGGCATCATCGTCGAAGTCGACTTTACGCCCGACACCGGCGGCGCGGACACAGCAGACGGCGGCGGCGGAATCCTGCCCAGTCAAGTGGTCATCAAGCCGGTCAGTCAGCCAACCGACATCATCCCAGACGACTCCAACTCAACGGCCGCCAACTCCTCTGACAACTCGACGGCGGTAGCTCCGATCAAGCCGTCCTCGCCGATGGAGCCGCCGCCGCTCACCGAACACCTGTGGCTGCGCCCCGAACGCGGACCACTGGCCGTCGCGCTGGCCCTCCAGATCGTGTTCTTTGTGCTGACGGCGCTAATGCTGCACGGTGTCCGCAAGCACCGCGAGGACCTGGTGCTGCTGTGGCTCGTGTCGGCGGCCTTCGGGCTGGCCGTCGGCTCGGCGGGCGCCGTGCTCTCAGCACTCTCGGCGTTCGACGTCGGTACACCCGGCGCGCTGCTGGTCGGGTTCGCGTACCTGGTGGGTCTGGCGCTGTTCTGGTGTGGCTGGGCGGTGGTGGTGGCTTACCATCGCCAGGCCACGCCGCCAGAGGTGGATACGTCGCAACCGCACTTTGGCTGAGCGAACGGCAGTCAACGAGAGTGACAGGCAGCTGAGGACAATCGGTCAATGTTGCCCTATGATTGGGCAGGCAGTGAGATTTATAAGGTCTGACCAAGGTCTCAATTTAAGGTAAAGTGATGAGACTTTTTAGTGATGAAAAGCAGTGAGACATTGTCGTGCCACCTTGTGATGGGCCTTGTGGGCTCCGCGGTGCCACTTTGCGAGGAAATTCAGGGTTACATCTTTGTGACACTGTGTGCAGGAGCCTTATTTTGAGACTCTTTAAAATAATATTGTGTGTATATCCTGGACTTTGAGGCTGTGCTGTCGAGACAGGTCAGTTTTAGGAAGCCAGCCGAGCTGCAACAGTCCCTACTCTGTCCCTGGTCAGCCGGTACCGCGCCGCGCGCCATTAGAAAGCCATCAGCTCAGCACACTCCACGTGCGCCCTTACCCAGCCAGGCCTCCAGGTGACAGTGCTAGAGTGCAAGTTGGTAGTGCAGAGCTGTCTCCGCTGCTGGGATGATCATCAGAGACCCATGCTCAGCGGCCGATGATCAGCGTCCCGCGCGGGGGTGGACGGCACGGTAGGACGGCGCAGTGGGCGGCGCAAGACGCGGCTGGCAGCCTCTCAACTCTGCGAGCAGCCCCGCCGAGCCATTGGCAATCGGCGGACGGCGAGCGGCCGTGGAAGCGGAGCGGAACGGTGCACAGCGATCGAGCCAGCTCGGCACGAACGGGACGCGATCGGAGAGCGCCGCCAATGATCCGAGTGCCGAGAGACGAGGTCAGGTCGGCGGGAAGGTCAGCCGTCCGTCGGCCGCGTAGTTATCACTCGGGAGTTCAATACCACTCGAAGACCAACACCACCAATCGCTCAGCTGCCCGTGTGGGCCACGCACGCTGGTGACGAGGTAGCTCCTGCTTCCGTCTGCCGTGACTGTAAAATATCCCCCGTGTAAGCGCCGCCGCGACCAGTGCCCGCGAGTGTTGCTCCCAACACCCATCTCCGTCCGTCGTTGTAACCATCACCTCTGGCCCGCGGCCCGCATGCCAATCGGTGACCTCTGCACTCGCACCGCCCGCTACCGAATGCCACACCGATCGGTACGTGACACAAACACCCGCGCGGCCTCGCCCGCTCCTCGTGCCTTGTTTTTTACCACTGCGCGTCCAATGTCCACACTGCCTCCTAACGGGGGCCGCTCGTCAGGTTTCATTGCACGTCGAGTTCAGCGTGGAGACGAACCGCTCAACAGTTCGCCCCAGTGACAAACCTCTCCAGCAACGTATCTGCATACCTTACTCTTGTGAGAGCTTGTTTTACGTGCAATAGAGCTCACGGTGAGCGATCCGCTGTGCCCGGCGGAAAACCGCCGTACCCGTCCGTCCTAAGGCGGTCGAAGGCACCTCCGTTCGCAGACGGTCAGTATTGATCGGGGGTCATGGTGGTGTTAAAGGCGCAGTGGTCAGTCGGCTGAGGGGTCGGGGTCGCCGAGGTCGCCGGGGTCGGGTCCGTCAAATGTCGAGGTCCGCCGGAAACCCGTGCCGACGGGTGGAGATGGGCCGAGTCAGGCCGTGGCATCCCGAGAACGGCGATGGTTGGCAGAGATAATCGGATTTACGTTCTATAATTCATGTCTGGAGTGGAATTTTGTATGATAGCCAGGTCCTGCTTGTAAAAATGCATGAGCGATTGCAACTGTACATGGACGTGGAAATATGAATAAACTATTGCCATTTTTAGAATTGCTGTATTGAAAGAACCTGTCCGTGCGGTGCACCGTCAAATGCCGGGGGGATTCTTTACAAATACCGTCAAATTATTTAGCTATATTCCATGAATAAGCCAAACAGCACATGTAGCCAAGGTAGCACACCGGTCCGCGAGTCGCAGCACATCTACTCGTATCATTTACGGCTTTTGCTGCATTCAACCGACCTTTGAAGTCCCCACATTCCACCGGAGTCACAGTGCAGCCCCATTCTAACGTCTCTCCCGCTGAAGGAAATCCCACCCCGCTGTCTCGGGAACATTCACGACAGCTTGGTCATGACCAGCCGACGCGCTGCCCCAAATTACCCGCTGTGTCCCCTCGAGTACCGTCCGGCACGCAGCCCCTGTTTGACCACGGGGTCCCGAGCGCCAGGTAACTGTCGTCAACACGGAAAGGTCACGGGGTAAGGACTGGCAGAAGTTGCAGGGTAGTGCTACAGTGAGGAGGATATTGAGTTAATGCGCAAGGCCTCCCTGCCTCAGTGCGGCGGTATCGGACAATTGAGTTTAACTGATGTTTCAGGCGTGCAAAAAGTCAACCGGTTGACAAATAGGGGGTCTTATGCGAAGCTGGAGGCATGTAGAGCCATATCAACCTATCGTTCTGTGAGCGTCTACAGTCAGCGAGTGTAGTCGGGGTCAATAGGTATTAATTACAAGTTACCCAGCTCCCCCCCCCCCTCGTGCAGCCGTGCACGGCAGAGCAACAGGTTTACATTTACAAGATAAGCCCAATTATACACTAATTACTGCTATAACTGGAAACAGGACCGGCAAGCAACGCACGTCACTGCATGGCTCAATTCTGCTGCTCAGCAACCACCCACCCACCCACCGGTCTAGAGTTCTTTGTTTGCCGTCACTGAACTGAGGATCAATAGAACGCTTCTCTCCTCCCCTTTTCCCCGTTCGCCTCAGAGAGAGTGGAGAGAGCGGAGAGAAACGACCATGTGGTCGAGCGGGCAACAAAGCGCCGGATGCCTGCCTCAATGTTTGGGTCGATGGGAGGGGGTTGGCGTCACTGAACGACTTACTGAGACGTCCGGAGAGGGAGGGAGTCGGAAGGCGATGACCGGGCTCAATGTCGGGGAAGGTGAGACGAACGGCAATGAACCGGAATGCGCTGCCACGACGAAAATCCACTGCCAGTCAGTAAGAGTTTCCAGTAAATCAAACCCTTTGAAACTTTTCTTATTGTGTCTCTTAGTCGCTGGTGTGTGTTTGTCTTTTTAATTTCGGAAAAATAAGGGAAATTTGAAGCATCCTGAATACAAACTGAGACGTTCCATAACAAATACTGACCAAGTGACCACGCTGTTCACCCCACCCACCTTATAATCTCGCCCTGCTACGGTTCAAGCCTTCCGCACCTCTCCACAACATTGGCGTGACCCCTATCACTACCCGAGAGTTACGTGCCGGCACACGGTATCTGCCATATCTGCCCCCCCCCCCCCTCCCGTGCTGACCGCGGCTGTTTGTGACCTCTGGTGAGAGGGTTGTGACCAACAAATACCTGGAGCGCGTGCACACAGCTCGGCCGGCGGCACGCAGCGGCCGTGACCGTCCATAGAGCCGCTCCTGTTGCCACCGGGCCACAATGGGACCAAGAGGGGATCGGAACCTCAATCGAATCACTTCACACGGGCCACGCTTATTTATGTCGAACCGCTGCACTGTGTTACAATCAACCGACCTTGGGACAGCCTTTCGCCAGAAAACAGCTGACTACGAGAGACCGACGGTGTTCATATTGTTCTGCAGCCAAAAGGTAAATCGCGTGCGAGTTTGTGATCCTAATTACCGTACTTTGCTAGCCCAGATTACATACAGTTACATAAATGAATTCGACAATCATGGCTGGTCCAATACCAAGCCGTTCGAAATAAGCTTAATTAAATCGTCTATTTAACTTCGATTGTAAAAACGTTCAATTCTGCTGGAGAAATCAATCCATTTTACCGATCCGTTTCAGTTAGCCACATGCAGTTTCCACCATCCTCCCCTCTGAGTCGACACTCACCATCCGCCCGGCAGCCCTTGGTCTTGCTGTGCTCGCTGAAGTGGTATCCGTCCACACAAAAGCACGTGGAGTTGAGCTCGCCGATCGCCGCGTGGGGCCGACGGTACGTGGCACACTGCTGACTGCACGTGCCGAACCTGTCAGCGGGGGGGGGGGGGGGTCAGAAACGTGCTGAGCTTGCCAGCGGGGAGGAGTCAGCAGATATATGCCGATCCTTTTAGTGGAAACATGGACCAAAAGAGTCAGGGGAGGCGAGTGGGGATGAAGAAGGGACTGGAAGGTGCGATAGAATGTGGCTGGAAATATTCACTGCTGGGGAAGGGATTTTTTTCCGGTCGTTCGTATCTGATGTAGCATCATTAGCATCATAGTAGGTATGTGCTTACTGCTTAGCATTGTTACAGGGAGACTGTTGCCAGCAATATTGCGACGCCGAAGCCAATTGCCATTCCTATGATTAGCTCAAGAAAAATATTTTGTATGACCTACCAGAGTCAACACCATCTGGACCAGTTTTCACCACACCTTCCTCCCACCCCTCGCCTCCCCCAACCCCCGAAACCAATCGCTTCCCAGTGTCGCGCCGAGGGCGGTGGAAAACCCTGGCGTCAGACCTGGCGTAAGACGCGCCCGGGGCGCATTCCGCTCCGAAACACTGCTACCAGTAACAGCCCTCCATTACCAGCACGCACAGCGAGCAGCACAGCTGTACAGACCGGTATCAACCAGACATGAAATCACCCAGGCCAGCGGATTGTCGCTTGTCACTCGTCCCAGGGCCAGATCAGCTTAGCCAGGACTGGTTAAATCCCACCGGTCGGGTTACCCTGCGGCCGGCAGCGCGGCCCAAACCCGTCCAGTCATCCTGTTGCCACGCTATCTCGATCGTACATGCCATAACTTCTCGCGTCATTAACATGCGCCGTCCGTGGCAATGGAGGCACCCGCGGCGATCGTGGTGTGGTTGTTTTGTATTCGGCGCAGTGCCTGCAGTCTGGCAGTGGAGGGAGGGGAGGGGGAGGCACGACCCTGGCAAACTAATGGGTGATCTTCTCGCGAGAGAGGTCGTAAAAAACTCGCGAGGACGCAAAATGCAGGGTGCGTAGGCACCGAGGTCAAGTTGGGTGAAACAAACAGGTGGGTAGAAACAAGGCTGACCGACGATCGGGTCGAACGGGAGACGCCAAGGCCGGGCGAGAGATACGGGATAGGTACGGGACGCCTGCAGCTAACGGGCACCGCAGAGTTATTACCGAGGCACGGGAGCAGAATTATGCAGGTGTTGGTCCAACAGCGGCAGGGAAGGTAAATCGGATTCGAGTATCAACATATTATATAACTCAATCGACCTATAGGAAAGGAATGCTGCCATTAAAACATATATGGTAGGACGGCGGTTTGATATTGATTCAATTTCAATTTAATTTTCAATTCGGAGGTTTGTCCTGCAATTTTAATGAAGGAATTTGTTATGTATGTCGACTAATGCAAGTTCAAGTAAGTTCTCTTTACTGCTCTTCTCTTTCGTAAGGCAATATGTCCCAATCAACCACCATTCACGATAACTCGCATTCGTTCAGGAGGCTTCAAAATTATTCGCCACTTTCAAGTTTTTTGTTTCTAATAGCACATTTATTAGTTGCCCACTTTGAAACGAAAAACAGCTGTCTAGTGTTAGTGTCTGGTCTGGTGTCAAAAACATGATAAGAAATTATGCTAAATATCTGGTAGCATAAAACCTCCTGCGAAGATGAGACGCAAAACAATTTTCACCAATCGACACTCTTGGTCGGGGAAATGCATGATGTCCTCACATTGTTTCAGAGGGAAAATGAGTCCCTACCAGCTGGAACCAATGCATTATGCGATTCCCGATCGTCTTCGTGAATGAATGGCCGACCTGACACACCCCCACCCCTTACGTGCACCCCGCCCCCACCGGCTGGACCGCTCAGCCCGGCCAATGGCCAGTTAACGGCAGACGGTCCCCCGTTCTACTCGCTCGAGACAACCCCATCAATACCGGGCAAGGCCGATACGGGTAACGGCAGACAACGAACTTGGGATAGACTTTCTATCGAGTACCCTTCTTGAATACGGAGGACCGGGGAAACTGTCCTTCACAGTACCATTCGTAAACATTGCAGGCAGAGCATCAATCCTCACGCCTCCCGTACAGTGAGATAGCTGAGCACCCGTGCCGTCTGCCAGCCCTCCCGCGGCGGGCGGCGGAGCGGAGCAAGATATTGGCAACAGAAGACCGCCCCGCCAGCGGTTGCGTGCCCTAACGAATGTCGGCGGGTTCCCGATAGGGCCCGCCGTCACAGGTAAATACGCCGGCGAATGTCGACAGGCCATTCATTGTGAGGAGGAGAGGCACGCCCGCCGGCTTAATTGAAGGTTAAAAGCCGCATGCAACAACAGACTCGGGTTATACCTGCGCCCGTTGGTTGGCAGTACCACCACTTTTTTTCTCGAAATGCCCGTAGCCCGACGGAAGTATACTATTTACCAATGTCTAACACACATGCTACAACAAAGTTCAAGGCACTTTGCAGGACACTTAGATCTTTTAGTCCTTTGCGCGTCTCTCTCTCTCTCTCTCTCTCTCTCTCTCTCTCTCTCTCTCTCTCTCTCCCTCTCTCTCTCTCTCTCTCTCTCTCTCTCTCTCTCTCTCTCTCTCTCTCTCTCCCTCTCCCTCCCCCCTCTCACTCACCCGCAGGCGCGGTCAGGACAGTCTCGCTCGTCCGAGTTGTCCCCACATTCGTCGAACGAGTTGCACACCTCCTGCTGGTCCACACAGCGACCGTTGTCGCATTGAAACGCGTGCGGGCGGTGCGCGCACTGGAGACGCGCGTGCAGCGGGCCGCCCGAACCTGACAACGTCAAAAGACAGCACATGGCATTATGGTCTGGTAGTATTGGTGGGACGAGGGCGTTGGTAATGCTGATGTCGAGGCGGCTGAGCGACGAAGTTCATATAATTACCTGAGTTGTGTCAACTTACCACACGGTCATGTGGACAATACCGAAAGTCTGGGCTTGACAATATGCAACAAAAAATAAAAGATTTTCTGTTCCTGGAAAACGACCGATTTTTTTTTATTCATTGGGTCCTATCATAACCGAAATGGGCATTAGTGTTGATCTGAAAATGTGTTTCCGGTTTTCAGTGCCGATTTTCGATTTTTGGCCCCGAAATTCGGTTTTTGGCCCACCGTGTCCGATGTAATTGAGCAATCGATTCACGGTAACTTTCATCGTCTTTCCTATGCCACGTGCTTTCGAATGATAACTGGTTTTGCATACTTGCGCCTAAAAATGACGTCATAAATCTATGTTAAAGTTGGAAAATGTTAAAGTTTGGATTTTTACATTTCTTACATTTCATTTCAAAATAGAGGAAAAACTAAAGGCCCTATCCACATTCTGAGCCCAGTTCCTTGAAGGGCATTCAATTTCCGTTCGGAAGGTACTTTTTTAGTGCATTTTATCGGATTCCTGTGGCGTCCAGATTGAGTTAACCTAAACACATATCCTAGGTCATAATCACATAACATTAACCTGATAACGTATGTTAACGCCATAGGGTCAACGAGGTGTCAACTGAGGTCATGTTGTTGACCCCTTGTGACCTCGGGTCACACGCAGGAACTTACTTTTCAGATCAAAACAAATGCCCATTTCGGTTATAATGAGACCCAATGAGTCCAAAAAATCGGTCGTTACTCAGGAACAAAATGACTGTTGCATAGTGTAATCGACCACTTCTTACCTCATGCCACTCATAAAGATGCGATTCCCCACGATCACTCGGCATTCAGAGGTGCGGCGGAACCCCCTATCGGTCGCTCCCAAAGGTGGGGTCCTCAACCCACGCCTCCCTTCCTCCCCGACTCTCCCATTGACCAGTTACAGAGATGGGTCCCCTTATCGGCCACTCACAGAGGTACGTACGGGTCCCCCCCCCCCCTCCCATCAGCCACTCACAGAGGTGTGGGTCCTCATCAGTTCCATCTCCACACTGGTCCTGTCCGTCGCAGAGGGCCGTCAGCGGCCGGCCGGCGCCGTCCGGGTACAGACACACGTGGTTGTGGCACCGGAACCCTCCGGGCAGGCAGGCGCGCCCCGCACACAGGGCCGCCCGTTCGTCCGAGCGGTCCGGACAGTCCTGGTCGGAGCCGTCACACACCCAGCTGGGCGGGATGCACGTGCCGTCCATGCACCTGGGGGAGGGGGGAAGTTAGTCAGAGTACAACTGGGGGACGGGTCACAGGCCAGGTAAGGTCAGATAACACCCAGAAGGGGTATAAGTGCCGTCCATACACCTGGGGGACGGGCCACAGCTCAGACAGAGTCAGATAGCAGTGAGACTGGATAAGGGATACATGTACACGTAGGTGGGTGTTCTTCAGTTTGACGGATTACGATCCCAGCTGGGATAACAATTCGCAAAACGGAGGTGAGGAATGAGCCAAAGATAATTCTCTTAGTTCAGGCGAGGCCAGGAAAACGTCAGGTGAATTCAGCAAGAGTTACAGCTAGAATAAGATAGGCTGCAGGTAGAATAAACACATGAAATTCACACCATTAACAGCTCCTAACCAGTCGATATCCCGTTAGCTTCTGGTCCGCCAACACCATCACAGGTAATCACATCATCGCGACGCCTGCGATTAATGATCCGTTCGCTGCCGATGAGCGAATCGACGATATTGATTCGGTCGTAACACGACATCCGTTTGATCTAGTTGATGTCCGTCAGAAATGATTACGATCGTTAGTCGCCATTCGTATCGAACAACATGAGCAGTCGATATGCGCCGTCGCCCCGTTATCCCCAATCCGCCCCGATGCCTGCTGCGCCACAAATTCGTTCATTTATTCAATCGTTCATGTCAATCCGTATAACGCGACTTTTCATTACAGAACACTTAAGCCCAAGGAAGAAGACAAATGTAGATTCAACAAAGTTATGCCAACCGATTTCGAGTAAAAATAGCATGAATAGGTAACTGCTCTTATCTAATGAAAACCGACCAAACATCAAAAGTCGCAATAAATGGCTGTGGTGTTCTGATCACCGTACAAATGCCGTCTGCTACCCATCTCGGTACGTATTCTGCCAGCCATCTACCCTTATAGTTCCGACATGTGGTCCACGCTCACTGATGCCACCAAGACAACCCCTCCCGTCCCCTCCTCGCCCCCCCCCCCCCCCTCCGTGCTGGCAGCGGCCATTGTTACCAGGCGGCGCCCACGTTCAGCTCTACCCCCCTCCGCTCAGTCCTGTCACTCCCCCCTCCCCCCCCCGCATCCCTCAACAGCCGAGCAGCCCGGCCCAAGTGCTGTTCAACTGTTCACCTGAACTGGTGGTGGGGAGTGGGAACAGGTGTTGTCGTGTTGCTCACCTAATGTTATTCTGTTCACCTGAACTGAAGGTAGGGACAGGTGCTGTTGTGCTGTTGCAATTTAAATGAGCTGGTGGTGGGAGCGGGCCTTTAACTGCTCACCTGAACTGAGGTGATCGGGATGGGTATTGAAATGATCACCTGAACTGGTGGTGGGACAAATGTTAAACAGTAGGTGGGGATCGGCGTTGTTGTTGTGCTGCTCATCTGAATTGATGATCAGGACATCAATTCAGATGAGTGATCAATTCAGATCAATTCAGTGCTCACCTAAACTGTGCTGCTCTGCTCACCTTACCTAGTCGGGACGGGTATTGAACTGCTCAGTGCTCACCTGAACTGATGATCTGGACAGGTGTTGTTACAGCCGGCCTCATCACTGCCGTCCGTACAGTCCGGGTGGCCGTCACAGCGCCACTTACTGAAAACAAACAAACACACACACGGCTCAGTACCATGTTCGCACAGAGGAACAGCGCCGCTTGCTACAGACATCTATTTTACGTATCTATTTTACGAAGCCTATTACCGGTCGTTTTCGTAACGATCATTTATGACAGGTAAGCATTTGCTCGACGCGATTATTTTTGGCATCTTAAGTGGACAAATATGTCTATAGCTCAGACTCATACGTCGTTCGGGTCCCAACTGTTTACGGTCACTCCACACCATCATAGCCACAACACCAGGCCGGGAGGAGACAGGGCAGGGACGACCCGGGCGGAGACAGCGATGGACCGTCCGTATTTAATTTGGCCGCCCGGCCGAGGGGGCGGCTGGGGGTCGGTGCCGGTGCCAGTGGGCTTCCTGCGGAGTACCGGCTGGCGCCCGGTCCGACCCCTCGCCCGTTTGACGTCGCGGCTGGGATGGGTCACCTTTCATAAATAATTAATGTAAACCAGTCCTGTCGCTAAAATTGTCAGTCGTCCCGTCGCGTTCCGTCTCGCCTTCTCCTGTCCTGTCCCGTCCTGTCTCGCCTCGTTCCGTTTCGTCTTATTTCGTCTCGTCCGGCCCCTTCCCACTCCGAACAATCAAGTGAGGCCCCGGCCCATCCTGTACTGTCCCTTCTCGTCTCCTTCGTCTAAACTCGTCCAGTCTCGTCTTATCCTATCATATTGTATTCTCTAATGCCTCGTCTCGTCTAAGTCTTGGCTCATTTTATAACGGCAGGACATATTTAATCTCATCCCATTTCGTCTACCCGCTTCCCATCCGATCCTATTTCGTTCCATTCCCGTCCCCATACCGTACCTGGGCACGCAGTGGACCACGTCAGCGGGGCTGGCGCACCGGAACGTCTCCTTCGGACACTCTGTGACGCAGCCGATCTCGTCCGAGCGGTCGGCGCAGTGATAAAAGTCGTCACAGCGCAGCTGGCGGTGGATACACCTGGCGACGGAAGGAAGAGTCAGCTGAGCAGACGAACAGCGTTAGAAAGAGAGCGGGTCACACAGGCAGACGGGCAGACGCCGACAGGCGGGCGGGCAGATATTAACAGTACGGAGACGGACGGACCGATCGAAAGACGGACGGATGGACGGACGGACGGACGGATGGACGGACTGGCGGACGGACGGATGGACGGAGGGTAAAAAGGATGGACGGAGGGATGGTGACGAATACAAAAATACCAATGAAACAGGAAAAATGGGCGGCAGAGAATCATACGTCACTCATTAATTCTAATGTTCACCTATTCACATGTCTGATGGCACGAACTTCTAAGCCTAGCCCAACAACACAAACGTACAGGAACTTCTTATTCCCACGCACAACCAAACACACAACACATTCACTGTTCTGCAGTTAACCCCGCCTCTACATCAACTCCCGGCCATTTCTCAGTCTACAACCCCCGACCCCATCGGGCACCCCCGGGCCGCTCGTGGCCACTCACCTTCCATCATTACACCGGAACTCGTCTGCGGAACAGTTCCGGAGCAGACACCCCTCCTCGTCCGACCCGTCCTTACAGTCATCCTCGGAGTCGCAGCGCCAGATGCTGGGGATGCACCTGACGGACGACATCGGAGGAGGGTTAGCGGTAGAGGGAGAGAGAGAGAGAGAGAGACAGAGACAGAGACAGAGAGAGAGAGAGAGAGAGAGAGAGAGAGAGAGAGAGAGAGAGAGAGAGAGAGAGAGAGAGAGAGAGAGAGAGCAAGAGAGAGAGAGAGACGAGTCGAGGTCAGAGGAGATGACAAGATCACAAGTAGATAGCGGGACGGTTAACGGGATGCACCTGACGGGCGGCAAAGGGGGGTCGGTCAGCGCAGGGGTGGATAGATGGTGGGAAGGTTAGGGGAGAGCACAGGGACAGGAAGTTGGTGGGAGGTCAGACAGAAGGAGAGACACAAAGGCAGAGGGAAAGACGGAGGAGGTTTAGGGGAGGTGGCGAGATCCCAGGGAGATAGTGGAACGGTTGGGGGAGATCGCAGGGACAGAGACGGAGGAACATGGTCGGGCGGGAGAGGAATAGGGGAAGGTCAGAGAGGTGTGATAACAGCGACAGAGAGAGATGAGTGATGGTCAAGGAGACACATTGCTTGATGCGCTTGAACTTCATAAAAACATATGCAACGCCCACAACGTTCACATCTAGCGAGAGACAATGACAGGCAGCGAGATGCGCTTCCAGAAGACACAATTTTTTATATTCATTGACGAAATATGTGCAAATGCATATGCACCCAGCATATACTCCTCTACATCACAGTCCAGTCCAGTTACAGAGTAATTTATGACTCCAACTATTGAGAATACGAGCATTTACAGCAAATATTCGTTAGCATCCAGTGTGTTAGCACACCGCTGGGGCACCGTCTCTCACTTTTTGTTGGCGCACTGGAACTGGTCGCCGTGGCAGGTGTGGTCGGCACACTGCTCCCCCTCGTCCTCGCCTTGGGGGCAGTCCTGTTCGGCGTCACATACCCAGCTGGACGGCAGGCAGCGGCCCGAGGCGCACCTGCGTCAGGGAAGGTCAGGTCAGATACCCAGCTGGACGGCAGGCAGCGGCCCGAGGCGCACCTGGGTCACACAAGATCAGGCCAGGTCACGCATCAAGCCCGACGGCAGACGCATCTAGGTTAGGTCAGGCCAGGGCGGCAGACTCATTTACAACCACAGCCCTCGCCAGCTAGTCCCCTGAACAGTCCACCAACCTGAACTGTTTGTCGGGGCAGGTTCGGTTGGCGCAGAACTCTCCCTCGTCACTGCCGTCCACACACGTGGGCTCCTGATCACAGACGAACACCGACCGAATGCACTGGCCGATCGAGCACTGCCGGACACATACGACAGGGGAAACGGAGCGTCAGTGGCACGGGGGAAGAACGGGCGTTAGTGACTCGAGACCTACAAATATGGCGGCAGTAACTTAACAAGGTCTTGTCCCTGCTCGTTACAATGCTCAAAACTCCACTGACTTCACGATTCACCTCATGCCGCTGATCTCCAAGTTACCTGATTCTACCCGACAGCTCGCTTCTTCTCCTTTCACCCTTAACTGTTACTCTTTTCTCCCTCCCTCTATCATTTCACTTCGCTACCTCCCTTCCTTTCTTTCTTCCTTTGTTCCCTCCCACCATCTCCATCTCCCCTTCCTACAACACTCACCGTGAAGTCTCCGTTGTCACACTTGACCAGCTCACAGTCCTGCTCGTCCTCTCCCAGAGGACAGTCACGGGTACCGTCACAACGTCCCAGTTCGGACATACAGCGAGGCGGTACCGTGTCGTTACCCGGACATCGGAACTGGCCGGGCATACACACGTGCTGGGGTGGGGGTGGGGGGTGGGGGGTGGGGGAGGGGTGTCAGTATCGGTGTAGAGTTGATACGACTGGTGGGCAGTGGTTAGATGGAGTCAGAAAGAAGCGCGGTTGTCTCCAGACCGGACCCACGGGTCGGTCAGAGTCAGATTGATTCATCACAGACACTAGACTAGAGTTGACTTAGGATACCACACACATCTAAGTCGAAGTAAAATATCTTAGACACCGTAATATCTAGATCAAGTATCTCCCCAGCGTGCCTAAGCCAACTACGAGTCTACCCTAATGTCATTCAGCTGTTCTCAGTCTACCCTAATCTATGCTAGTCTGTCCCCATCCTACACCTAGTCGTTCTCCAGTCATTCCCCAATCTACCCCCAGTCTGTCCCCAATTTATCCCTAGTATATCCCCATCAGCCCCGGTCTTACCGTTTCACAGCGGGCCTCGTCCGTTCCAGCGCCGCACTGCGCCTCCCCGTCACATATCTGAGACGGTAGTACGCACACGTCGCTGTCCTCACAGGGCAGCATGCCCTGGCCGGCGCACTGGTACGGTGGACAGTCGGACGGCTCGTCCCAGTTGTCACCGCAGTCATCCTGACGGAGGAAAAGAAAGGTCAGATTAGGTGAAGTCAGGTCCCGTCACCACATCGGACGTCGAGGAGCCAGGACGTTTCAGGCAAATGAAAGGAGGGGGGGGGGGGGGGGCACGGTGCTATGACTGGCGACCAGCCAGGCAATCGAAACGAAACTCCTAAGAGCGTTAAGAGCTAACACAATTTAAAGCTACCACTTCCCATGACATCTGACCAGAACCTGCCACCCGACCTTTTCATTGACTGACACTGCCCTCTCAGATGCATCTCATGCACATGCACTCCCTCCGTTTTTCCCTCCCTCTTTCTGCTCCCGCCCCTCACCAATCCTACCTGCTCCCCCACTCTTCCCTCCTCTCCCCCACTCTCACCTGTCCATCACAGCGCCACCAGAACGGTATACAGCGCAGTGTGTGCGGACACTCGAGCTGGCTCGACGAACAGTTGGACCGGCACGTCCGGCCGTCCTCGGTCAGTACAAAGCTGATGGGACACGCACACCGGTGCCCACCGCCCGGCTCGAGCAGACACAGCGCCTGACAGCCGCCGTTGTCCACCTGGCACGGACTGTCGTCTGTGGGAGGGGAGGGAGGGGTGGGGGAGGGTCAGAGAGGCTAACGGATAGGTCTGTAAGTGTGGTGACATGGGGGAGTCAGTATATAGGCTGTCTCCATTCCCCTCCGCATGGAGGGTCAGAGTCGGATTGACTCATCATGGTTACTGAAAACACAAATAAAACGATACACAACTGATAGACAAAATGCGTGTAGTTGTCAGGGTTCATGTAACATATCCCACGAATGGACTGTGTCCCTTGAAAAAATATAGGCTTCTGAATCGTGAATAACAACAACCGGAAATTTGCTACGGATATCACGATGACAATTACTTTACAGCTGCACAGCACATCAATGCCAATCGTTACATTCTGAACACACCTGATGATACACACATTGAGGTAAATGATACTAAACATATATAACGTAAACGTAATGTGAAATGTCGAAATTCGTACCTCATCTTTAGAAAATAATTCGGGTGAAATAAGAACCACGCTAGCGTAACTTAGTTTCTTCACAGTTAGAGACCGATTATATTATCAATCCTACTCCACTGCAGCCCACGCAACAACTTTGACAACGCCGGAAACTACCCACCATAGTGGTGGCTAGGTACCGGAGTTTATTGTGCCGGAAACATCACTATTCGCACTCTCCCGTGTCGTGACGCCGTGCCGTGCAGCGGCGGCGCTGTCAAACAACGACCACGTGGTGTAAAATAAACAGCCGCTACTCACGCTGTGATTCAAGGTCAGTCAGCACCGCCCGCGGAGCTCACGACAAAATATGCCAGAGTGAGTTTGAGGTCGGACATAGCTTCACGAGATTCACTCAAAACAAGACCCAGAGGAGGTTAGTCGTAGCTCCCACTCGGGTATGATGGAAAAAGAGGAGAGGATCGACACTGGAAGGGAGGGTCGCGAGAGGAGAGGATGGGGAGGGGTCCGTGCCGGCTCCCTGCCGCGATGGTGCCAACTCCAGGAGTACACGAGTAGAGATAGGAGTTCCAGGGCAGGAAAGTGCCTGTCATAATCGGAGGCCGGGTCAGGGCAGATGGTCATCAGGCCAGAGGTCGGATCAGGGCAGGGGTACGATCAGATCACAGGTCGGATCAGGGCACGGTACTAAATCGCGATCTGAGGCCGGCTAGGTCAGAGGTAAGATCAGGTCAGAACTGCCTCGAATCTATTATTGTTGCTGTGGTGGTGGTTATTACCTTTAATTATTCAGCCGACGCATGTATGGTTTATATATGTTGCCCAGTGGCTATTATCCAGCCAGTCGGCCCGCAAAAGGAAAACATGATTAATTCAGAGCATGACTAATTCCACCAGTCAGCCTACTGATGCTTTCATTCATGACGCTACCCTACCCCAGCTTAGCAATCATGGGCGATACTGCGCATTGACGAACCCCAAGAGGCGCGGTTGGTGTGACGGTGCAAAAAAATTGATCAGTGGCGGGCTGATCTGTACACAATCGACCTCCCTCCTGCAGCGTTCGCCTCACGATATAAACATCGTGCAGAGGCGGACCAGAAGGTGCTACAAACAACAAACAACTGTGCGTTCCGCTCCGCACCCAGTGCACAGAGGTCAGTCCGTACTTGGCATTCAAAGTGTTGGTAATTGACTGGCTCGGGTACTAATAGTACTCCCGATAAACGCTGCTTGAAATACTCGGTGCTCTGGTACTCGCTATTTGCGGCACACAGCACTCAATATTCTTGATACGATCGCAATTTAGTGTTCAGAGCCAGATTGTACTCCAGTTACTCTCGCTATTCTAGGTACTCATTACTTTCAGTACTCAGCACTGTGTGCTCTTAAACCTCAGTACTTTGGGATATGTAATCATGGAACTGGAAGGCGCGCTATTCGCATGGAATGGATATTTTTCGTCCATAAAAAGCGCCCAGTGGTTAGGAGTCTCGTTGTTTCTGATATGCTTTTAGTACCTAACACTCGACACCCCGCACTCGTATCATGTTTGCTTATTCATTTTTTTTTTTATTCAGGGTTTCAGTTTACTTCCCGCACTATCGGCACCACTCTCAGCACCCTCGTCACTCACGGTGCCGCTGCTGCAGCTGATGCTGCACCACCAGGCTCATAGGATGGCGCGCCTCGTGGTGAATGACGGTCAGGTTTCCACCGTCTGCCTTCCGGCAGCGCTGCACCGATTTGGTCTCCCAGTCGGTCCAGTAGAGCCAGTCCTCGAACACGGCCAGCGAGAACACGTGGTGCAGGTCCGCGCCGTGCTTACCTGTGCAAGCGGCGAGAACAGCCGGTAAGAAGGGATACAACGACGGGTGAGAACGAACAACGAAACCGGTGAGAAGGACGAGAGAGGCACATGAGAACGGACAGATTGATGGGGAAAACAAACAGCACCAGAGCTGGCTGCACTGATTGTGTCTCCGTTGCATGTGTCCGTTAAGGATGCGGAAATAAAAATTATAAAATGAATATTGCTTATCGCGGACACAGTATTACCATCTGAAATAAATTTAGCTTTCTCAAGCTTCAGTCCTTGCAGCATTCGAAAAGTATCATCTCTCCCTCCCCCCGGTATCCTTTTCCCCTGCCTCTGTCCCACTCACGCCTGCTGAGCAGCACATGCATATTGGAGCCGTCCAGGTCCGCCACGCCGATGTAATCCTCCCTGGCGTCTGCCCAGAACAGGCGGCCGCCCTCGTGGTCGATGATGAGCGCGTTGGGCCAGCCCAGTCGGTCGGCGATCAGGGGGCCGGGGTTGGAGCCGTCCATGCCGGCCCGGCCGATGTGCGGCGTCACACCCCAGTCGGTCCAGTACATGAAACTGCGCGGGGTCGGGGAGGCATGGGTTAGAACGCACCCAGCTAGATCAGCCAGACACAAGCTAGATCATGGGGTGGGGGACAGGCCCCCTGGGGGCCTCGAGCCGGGTTAGACCGCGGGGTGGTCGACAGGCTAGGGCCTAAACATGGGTTAGGCATATCGGGTGACACGTGGGCCTTACCTGTCAGGTGGGTCATACGTAATAAGTCAGGTGAGGTCACTAATACAGAGCTCGGTTGGCGTCACAGGTCAGGTCAGGTCAGGTCAGGTCAGTTCACTAGTACGGAGCTCGAGCGGTTCACACGTCAGGTCAGTCAGGTTACCAATAGAGTTCGGATGAGTTACAGGTCAGGTGAGCCCACAGTTGACCCGTAGCTCGGATGGGTTACAGCCTACAGGTCGGGTCGTCTTGGTCGCAGGTCAGGTCAGCTCAGCTCACTCAACCGGAGTTTGGGCGGGGTCACAGGTCAGGTCAGGTCACGTCAGGTCAGGTCAGCTCAGCTCACTCACCCGGAGCTCGGGTGGAGGCAGAGCGCTCGCGGCTCATCCAGTCCCTCGTTGACCAGTACGCGGGTGAAGCGTCCGTCCAGCCGGGAGACCTGGATGCTGTCACTGAGCCGGTCGCACCAGTACAGGTTATCGGCCACCCAGTCGACCGCCAGGCCGGCCGGTTTCCCCAGCAGCGCCTCCGGCTGCAGCAGCTGTGGGGGGGGGGGGGGGGACAAGGGATTGTAGTTAGGTTCAGCGGGCAGGGGTCGGGGTCGCATACAGCATCGTCCGAGCTGTCCGCTGATACAAAATCGACAAATAACTGCTCATGCCCTAGTCTAACCGACAGGCGTCGGTTCTTCGTCCTTCTAACGATCTCTTTTCTTCCCCACCTAACCTTTTTTCCTTCCCCTCCCACATTACCTGATACTGATATTCTATGTCGATGCCGGGCCCTCGCTTCCCCCTTCCTCTTTCTCCATCTCACTCATTCCTCCCTCTGTCTCCCTCTCCCTCACCTGATGTTGGTACTCTGCGTCTGGCGAGGCCCGGCACATCCGTCTGATAGCCGCCGGACTGGGCGGGAACGGCTGCTCGCTCCAGTAGATGCAGTCGTGTCGCCAGTCGTAGTCCAGCGCCACGCCGTTAGTGAGGTTCTTGGCCAGCAACTGGGTGTTGTTACCGGTCAGGTCCAGTGCAGTGATGTAGTAGCGGCTGATGAACAGGATACGTGGCTTCTCCGCTGAGGGAAACACGGAGTCACGGGGTCATCGACAGGACGTTATGACGATTCAATTTACAGCGGGATGTGTGCAGGCTTTCTACAGATATATATGCTCAATTCTAAGATGCTTTGGTAGATTTATGTGCTTTTTTGTCTAGCCGTAGCGTATAGCGTATAAGTATGCTAGTCACTCAATCGCGAAACTTCACCTCGTTGTTGAAAGACATCAGCTCACAAATTTACAGTCTCCTCCCGGAGCCTCTTTTTCCAGCCCAGTCAGCCCATGTTCTTCTTCTTCTTCTTCGGCTCCCCATACTCACGCGCCACGTGCGGGTCGGCCACGCAGCTGCGTCCGTCGTCTCGCGGCAGGAATCCCTCATTACAGGTGCACCGGTAGCTGCCGTATGTGTTGAAGCAGTGCTGGCTGCAGGGTCTCAGAGGCTCAGAGCACTCGTCTCGGTCCAGGCACTCGTCGTGGCGGTCGGGGCCCGGCGGCGGCTAGCGGAGCAGGTAGAAAGGGGGACGTCAAAAGGGGCTGACCGGATTAGGGTAAACGAAGTGACAAAGTGATAATGGAAGGACAAACCTGATCAGGCCATTTACGAACAGCTGCAATTTGGTTCAAAGACTTCACTACAATACAATACCATAGGGCCTTGCCGGGTTACTTTTGTCTACCAGCACATGACCACAAACACATCCAACAAGTCCGTTTCTCTCTCGGCAGTCCCATCGTCGGGGCACGTCAGGTATCCCTCACAGATTCCCGTAATCTCCCCTGAATAGCTGAAAGTCACTCCAACACTGGCTCCGATAGCCCTCTCCTCTAGTTGACTTCCCCGGACCCCTCAAAGCCTCTCCAGTCTCCAGCTCTGGCACTGGTATCTCTCCCCTTCCAGTATTCTCCCCTCACCCACCTTGAACCCGCTCCAGCACTGACACCGGTATCCGATGGGCCGGTTCACGCAGATGTGCTGGCACACCTGGTGCGGCTGGTCACACTCGTTTACACCTGTAAGAGGGGAGGGAGGGCGATCAGAGGGAATGTCGCTCGCAGCCACGGGGCAGCCATGTCTCGACAGGTCACGTATCACTGTTTATGTCGAATAGCTGACAAATTAGTCATAGCAACGCACTGTTACATGGTAGCGGCAAAGCCCACAGGATACCGCTTATTACATCAAGGCTACATTATGCACATTGCGACAACAATGCTACTTGTTACTGCTACTTCTCTGTCTTCCCTACTCACCCTAGGAGCCCGTTATTATGCCGACGGCTTTCACCCCCCCCCCCCTTTCCCGTTCCGGCACTTGCCACCCCATTCCACCCTCTTTCCGGGCTGCCGACTGACCGCAGAGCTCCGTCTCGTCGCTGCCGTCGCCGCAGTCGTCTCTGGTATCGCACACCACCGTGTCGTTAATGCAGGCGCCGTTGGCGCAGCGGAACCGGTCACTGCCGCCGCAGCTCTCCTCGGCCTCGTCACTGGTGATGCCCGGCTCCGGCTCAGAGTCGACGCTCTCTGGAGAGAGGAGGGAGGGGTGAGTGAGAGGGAGGGAGGGGGAGAGGTGTGAAAACCCACGGGCGGTTGACGGGACCCCTGTCCCGAGACGAAACACGGGCATGTCAGGCGATACCAGGCTGCTGGAAAACAGAACACATAATAGAGGGGGACGTCTCATCCCAAAACATGCCAAAAAAAAAAAAACAACATAAAAACATCCCAAAACGACTACAAGTCGTGACTGAGCCATTGTCCCGCCCGCAGCTCTGTCGCTCAACGATTGTCGTCCCTGTAACAGGCGACTGTAACTGCCACACTCGGCGACTGTCGCCGCCAGTATGAGCAATTGTTGACCCCAAACGCACTACGATAGCCCAGCTGCAGTCACCGTCACTTACCACAGACGGAGAACATTTCGTCGCTGTTGTCGGCGCAGTCGTCCACACCGTCACACACAGATGTCTTGGGTATACAGCTGAAAGACCAGACTCACGGTTAGCCGACGGCCCCTGAACACCGCAATTACGGGTATCACGTGACACTCAGCGCACACAGGGTGCGCTGAGTGTCACAGACAATATCTAGAGGTCATGATATTGAAAATTGACTATAACATCGTGCAACTGCACAATGCACATATAAAAAGAAATATCGGTGTGCCAGTGGCAGCGCGTCACTCACAGTCCGTTGACGCAGCCGAACTGGTCCTTGGGACACTGCTCGCGCGCGCACGACTCTGGCTCGTCGGTGCCATCAAAACAGTCGACCAGGCCGTCACAGTAGGCGGAGCGAGGGATGCAGCTGGGGGTACACAGAGGGCGGGCGGTCAGCGACGGTCAGCGAAGGGGAAAGGGTGCTTCACGGTACTTTATAAACATTCACATAGAACGCCTTCAGTCATGTAGCAAGGGACCAAGTTACCTCCATGAGTGGTCGAGACTGCATTTCAGCAATGCCTCGAGTAGCGACAATGACGAATACTGAGCTTGAGAGTACCGAGAACGTCAAGGAAACATAGCCCGCTCGGCCAATCAGGCATCCAATACGAGTTTATCAAGCACCAAATGTAGCTTACAAGTTGATATCCTTTACGGCAATGAGTAATGACAATACAAATGATTGCGATACAGTTCGGTCACCGCAAAATGCCATCACTCACCCGCCGGAGACGCAGCGGAAGCTGTCGGCGTCACACTGGAGCGCCTCGGCGCCACAGATCTCCTCCTGTTCGTCATCGCCCACCTGACCGGGCCCGTGGCAGTCACGGTCACCGTCACATAGCCATGTCTTGGGGATGCAGCGGCCCGAGCTGCACGTGAAGTGGTTCACGTCGCACGTCTTGGTCTCTGGCGATGGAGCAGGAGGAGGGAGAGGAGTCAACGGCAACTCACTGCACTCCCACGGTAACTCACGGCAATTGAATGTCCTCCACCCCCCCCCCCATAACGCACTACACTCGTCTGCCTCCTTCGCGGTAACTTACTGGTGTATCACCCTAGGTAGCTTTCTACACTTGTTTGCCACTCCTCACCACGGCAACTCCCTACACTTCCTACCCTCCCACCGGTAACTCACTGCACTCGTCGGTCTCGTCGCTGGCATCTGAGCAGTCGGGCTCTCCGTCACACTCCCAGCTGGCAGGGTAACACTCGCCCGACGTACAGCGGAACTGGTCGTGACGACACGCGTCCTGCTCTGTGGAAGGGGACAGCAGACATCGTCAACCGGGGAAAGTGTGAAGAGTGTGACAGTGAATGGGGTAGAGATGGAGGGAAGGGAGAAGGTCAGAGAGAAAATAGGAGGGGAGATGGGCCGTAGAGAGCAGGGAGGTGGAGTGATCAGGATGCCAGACACAAGTTACAAGTAATTCTGGGCACAGAAGCACATCCACGTCACCAGCTGGACCTAACATGTCCGAGACTTTCACACAATCAATCTACCCTCCCTCCGTTCCAAGTATGTCCAGTCTCCGCTCTACCGGCCTGTATCTACCCTCCCGTAACCTCGCCGCGCTCCCTCCTATCACACGCCAATGTCCTCGCCTCTCCCTTTTCCGCACCCACGCCCCTCTTTCCCGTCTCGCGCTCGTTTTCCCGCCACTGGATTCAAACTATCGCGTTTCACTTCCAACGCCCGTTTTCTCGCCTATATTGCCCCGTATCCGCGCCCAGCTCATTTAGTCTCCCCTCCACTCCATCCGTCGGCCCGTCTCACCACCCCACACTCACCACAGCCGAGCTCGTCGGAGCTGACGTGACCGCCATCACCACCGGGCGCGTCGTCACAGTCGTTGGCCCCGTCACAGCGCCAGGCGTCCGGAATACAGGTGCCGTTCCGGCAGTGAAACTCGCCCGGGTAACAGTCGTACCGCGAGTCTGTGGGCGGGAGGGGAGTCAGAGATTTACAGAGGGGAGATCCTACCACACATCACTGGCATTTGGAGAATACAATGCTTAGACATCACCCTGACGACAGTTGACTTCACGGATGACAGTCTTACGAGTATTCTATGAATTCACCTATAGTTTAGCCACAGATATCAATTGATGACTTACCCGTTACGCTGAACTACGCGGCAGCCGATTGAGCTTTCAAAGAAAAAACTTAGTAGCTACTTATTGATGAGACATTGTAGTCTAAGCAGCATTCAGTCACTTCAGTCCCTACCCCCATGCAATCTTTTTTTCCGTGCGACTAACTATTCCTATTTCCATTGTCACCATACATTTCCATTCCACCTCTCTTTCTCATGAGCTCCAATGTCCTCGCTTCACCCTTACCCCCAGACTCTCACCCACCCTCACAGTGTTGACCCGGGTATTATCACGCTGAACCTCCCGCCACTGACCGTGTATGACGATGCCGGTGCAGTTTTGCTCGTCACTGTTGTCCCAGCAGTCGTTCTCTCCATCACACCGCCAGCTCTCCAGGATACAGGCGGTGGTCGTGTTACACGGCACCATCCCCAGAGTCTCCGGCTCCAGAGCGTCGCCCAGGTCAGCGTCCGTGCAACGCATCGGCGCTGAGAGAGGAGCTTTATCGTCAGGACCGGACGGGAGAGCGAGACAGGTCCGATGCTAAGAGCGACCGACAGGGTAAAGTCAGGCCGAGGTCGGGACGGGCGGGCGGACAGGCCGGTTCAGCGCAGCGGGCCTACCTCCGACTGTCCGATCGGACTCTTCTTGTATCAGGTGAACTTGCTACAATTCATGGAAACAGTTCTGATACCTCGTATATTTTCCGGTTATGCTGTTCAAGATCCCCATTTGACCACTCGAAGTTCATCAGCTATAACAATTCCAGTTAACCTGGATCTTGCAGGGGCGTCAACTACGGGACACACCACATCACACCATAATAACAATTTAAACATACATGACTGGAACATAGACAGTTTACCCAGTTTGACATACAGTTTACCCTCCCTGCTTGAGTATGTGCAGGTCCAGCCCCCTCAGCCATGACTGTACACTGTACAGGGCTGATCCTACCCTCTCCGCCTCCATGCTACTCCCACTGACCCTCCCGTCGCCATCTCGCCGCTTCACTCACGGCATCCCATTTCGTCGCTGGCGTCCTCGCAGTCCTTGTAGCTGTTACACCGAGCCGTCGGGTCGATACACTCTCCGGACCCGCACTGGAACGGCGGAGTATCGCCGGCTCGGACCTGACACGAGCACGGCTCGTCACTGAGATCGGCGCAGTCGCGCAGGCCGTCGCAGCGCGCCGAGACGGGCACGCAGCGTGCCGCGTCACACTTGAAGAACCCGGGCGGGCAGGTACGGTTCGCCGCTGCAGGAGTGAAGGGGGGGGGGGGGAGTTTGTGAGAAGCGGTGTGCGTTGGTGAAGCCATGGAGTCATTGGGGAGGTCTACCATCAGACCATCCTATCATAAGGTAGACCCTGCCAACCAGCCCCACCCCGCCCCTGAATAAAATTGGGTGTCAAGCTTCAATGGTGTGTATATATGCGAAGTGATAACGATAATAACTTACGGGCGGACCGAGGGAAAACGGGCAGTCCTGTAGCTTCCAAGCCATGCGCTGGCATACCAGTCGTTTACATACCAGAACTTTGTTTATCAATTTGTTTGTTTATTAATTTGTCAATCAATTAGGTTTATCAATTAAACTGCAGTCACGCCCGTTTCACTACTGACCGCAGTCGCTCTCGTCGCTGCCGTCGGGACAGTCGGTGACGTTGTTACACGTCATCTTGTACGGGATACAGCGACCGTCACCGCCGGCGCAGCGGAATGCAGTCGGGTCGCGGCAAGCGGCCGGGTCCTCGCTGCGAGAGCAGTTGTGACCTGCGGCAGTGGAATGACGAGGGGACTCAGATCAGATACAAGCCGCAGCGAAGGGCTACATAGAACAGCTGTGACCTGGGAATATTACTTTCAGTAATGACAAAATCCCTCAGTGTCACTACCTCGGCTAAGTTACTGATCACTGCTGCAACCCCTTCCTCTAATTTGATATAGTTTTCGTCTCTCCTAAACTGCCTGAATATAGGTACCACCCTCTTTAGTAACCCTTCCAGTATGAATGCGCACTACTGCTCTACCAAACTCCCTTATTTTTCCTCTCACATGGAGCGTTAGAATCACAATATTCTTCATTCCTCTCCAAATCACTCTGCCATCACACCCCATCTCTCCCTCTCTTTCCCTCCCCGATCGTACCCCGTCCCACTGTGCTCCCTCTCTTCCCTCTCCCCACGTATCGCCACGACCTACCGTCTGGCAGCAGGACGCGTCCGTCGGCACACCGGCACACCACCTGACCGTCGGCACCGAGCGTACACAGGTCACTGCAGCCGCCGTTACCGGGAGAGACGCACGGGTTCGACGGACCTGTGGAGAGGGGGTGGGGGAGGTGTCATACAGAGGGCGCAGGGAGAGTCGGGAGGCCTAGTGATGGACAAAGAAAAGTACAATTTGTGTTCGGAGCAAACAAGACGTGATAGGGCAACAGAGTACCCACGGACGGGGCAGTTGGAAAAAAATAATCAGCGAATAATCAGCCCAACTGCATCAAAATAGAAGCAAGAAGAGAAACGAAAAATTGTTCATCCATTCCTTAACTAGCTCGCCCAGTCTAGCTGACTCCAAATCGTTGGACAAAAACTCGAACCACCACCTGTCCTATATCCAGTGATCCACCCACCAACACAACTACCGATAAGCCCGCCCGCAACCCTGACAGCTGCCCCAAACTGTCACCAAACTAAAACCACTACCAAGTACCACCCTCCCTCCACCCGTCCAAAAGTCAAGTAACACTTACATGCAGTGGCCTCCTTGCTCACAGCCACAATCCCCATCGGTTTGGCCATGTCCTTGAGCAGAAACGTGGCGTGTCGGCCGGTGCGTTTCTCGGCGCGACCAATAGCCAGGTGAACCCAATCAGTCCAGAAGATATAGTCGCCGAACACAGCCAAGTCGAACGGGTGCTTTAACACGCCAGAGACAACGATCTGCCGACGACACGGGGAGGGGTGGGGGCGGAAGGGTGTCAGTGGGGGCAGAGCCACGACTCAGAGGGCGGGTAACTCACGCTCGGGTCAGTTAGTAGGCTGTCTCCATGCTCGCTAAAAGCGAGTGCTCAGAGTCGGATTGAGTCATCACGGAGCTGACACGTTTTATTTTATATTCGGCGCTGCTAAGTACTCTCGGTGTGATGTATTGTAGTGTACAAATATTAAAAAAACGATAATGTCAGTGCATAACGCCAAATTGACATGGCTTCATGTGGTTATGCTTTACATCTGAGCTATAGGCAATCTATCAGGTAGCTCGATACGTCTTTCGAATATTCAAATGAACACAATTTTCTGATCTGCCATACACCAGCATTGCAATCACCTAGCATCAGTTATTTCTGCTCACATCTGCACAGCACAAGACGTACCGCTTCCTCCCTCTTTCCCCGTCCCCCGTCCCGCCTCCCTTCCTCTCCCCTTCCCCCTCTCACCTCCCGGTCGGTACCGTCCAGGTTGGCCCGCTCGATCTTATCGAAGCGCGCGTCGGTCCAGTAGAGCTTGTGCGCCGTCTGGTCAATGGTGATGCCGTTAGGCATGCGGATATCGGTGTGGATGATGGAGGTAACGCCGTACCCAGAGAGCTGCGCGCGCTGTACGCTCGGCGCCTGAGAGTTCCAGTTCGTCCAGTACACACGCCTGCCGCAGAGTCAGAGTCAGAGTCAGAGTCAGCGTCGGTATCGGTATCAGGGTGTCGGTGTCAGTGTCAGTGTCAGTGTCAGTGTCAGTGTGACAATGCCAGAGTCAGTGTCAGTGCACGCTACACAATCGGCCCGAAGTTAGTCCTTGGCGGGAATCCAAAAGAGCTCCTCTACAAAGGGCACGCAATGAGGCAGAGATAGCCTAAACTAGCCGGGTACGTTTTGCATTGTCAGTAATCAGTCTAGCAAATATGCAAATGACGATGCGTCTCCACCCCCATCCCCTCCCCAAGTCCCCACTCACCGCCGTTGTTGTCTCACCTTCCTTCCCCCTCCCGCCTCCGGCCGCCGCTGTTACCCCCCGTCTCACCGGTTGCAGCTGTCGATAGCGATGCCGCGCGGCTTGTCGTCCTGTCCGAGCGGCACCAGCAGCTGCGGACGACTGTTGGCGCTGCGCACGCTGATCCGACTGATAGAGTGCTCGCTGCTGCACGTCCAGTAGATGTCGCCGTGCACCGGCTCGAACGCCAGACCCTCGACCGTGCCCTGTTCTGCGCTCAGAAACGGAGGAAGGGAGGGATGGCGGACAAACTGTCAGATACGGAGATACCGAGGCTTACAAAATGCCAACTGACTACCTTAATTGTTAGATTAAGTGAAAATGTTGTTTTTACTCATTTGTGTAATATGAGTAGAACATACATCACATTAAGCAAGCATAATTAAGCTAAAAACCTTCAAGAGAAACGGAGGTAATAACTGATTAAGCGAAAATGATTCGCTCGAAAACCAAACTCAAACAGCCTTTAGCATTCACCAGATAGGGCAGCCTCCACCGAGCATCAGTGGATCGTTCGTACTCACGATCTGTGATGATCTTGTGGTTGGTGCCGTTGAACATGACGCTGTTGATGCTGCCACGCATAATGTCGGAGAAGAACACCGTCCTGGCTTCGTAATCAAACGCCAGGCCGATGGCCTGCCGCACAATATCCTTCGAGTCGATGGCCGGGAACGGCCGCGCCCCGAACTGCTCCTCGAAGAAGTGCAGGCTCTCGATGGCGGACGTGCGGGAGAACATGAGGAATTCGTCGTGCGGCCGACAACCCCGTCCATCCTCTGCCAACCTCCCGTGCGCGCACTGACACCGGTAATCGGTCGGCCGAGCCGCCGCGCCCAGGTACACGCAGATCTCCGAGCAGAAGCCGTTATCGTCGCCGCACGAGTTGATCTCGGCTTGGCGCTCCTTGCTGTACAGCTGAAGGTCCCGCACGCGTTTGAGACCCGTGTGTATCGTCTCGGCGGCGGTGAGGTTGTTAACAGACGCGCGCAGGATGGCTCCATCACCCACAGCGCGGTCGGCCCAGTAGAGCATCCCTCCTCCAACCGTGATAGCCATCACACCGGCCACCGATTCTCCCTCGAGCAGCGTCTCGAGCACCGGCGGACTGCCCGTAGCGCCATCCGTGCGGAACCGACCAATCTTATCAGCTCCCGAGAACAACCAGTACATGGTATCAGCGCGTACGTCAAACGCCAGGTCGATACTCGATTTCCCTGGCATCCAGGCGCCGAGCTTTACCATAACGGTCCGGTTGTCGCCGTTTAGTAGACTCGTCTCCACAACACCGGAGCCGGCCAGACGGTTGGCCCAGAAGAGGCGGCCCCGCGGGTCGAAGCAGATAGCGTCCACGCGGCTGAGGTTGCCGCGCGCCACTACCCAGGAAAGGGAGGTACCGGCACGCACTGCGCGGATCGAGTCGGTAGACGATTCTGACCAGTACGTGTTACCTGTCAACGGGGAGCAGAGAGATGCAAGGGTCAATGGATTGTCTGGCAACTCAGGATACATGCTGGTAGGCCACCGAGTCAGCCAACAAAATGTTTCTCATTGAACTCAGCAAACATGTACCGGATAGCCGGCATGGCCATAATCACTGTAATCATAATTACCATAATCGGAACATATTTTGTCAAGGTGTTGAACGAATTCGCAAAATATTGCACTGACAACCCGTCCGCCTCACCCACCTGTGACCCAGTCGACGGCCAGGCCGGTGATCCACTGTGATCCCCGCACGTCCTCCGCCAGTCGGGTCAGGTTCGATCCGTCCCGACTGATGGTCAACAGATGGCCCTCCGTCGGACCGCCGAACGACGACGACGCACCGCCGGCGTCGTGATCCACCCACACCAGTCGCTGACGGTGCGCGTCGAAATCAACGGCGTCGGCGACGGCCAGCGTCGGGAACGGCGGCAGGACCGAGTCGGCGGCGGCGCCGGCGGTGGTCGGCAGGCCGAGGATGCCGCCCATGCTGGCCACCAGCAGAAACTCCGAGTCGCCTGGCCGGCACAGGACGGGAGGGGCGCTTTGAGAGGCTGCGGTACGGGCGTGAATCTACGACTCCAAAGTGCGGCTACAGTTCAGCGCGGAGAATTCCAGAATGACTGTAGTAGAAAGCAGATAAAACGTGGGATAATGATTAAATGAGCATGTTGATAGCCGGACCGGTCCCCTAAAACAGCTGGCAGTTTTGGAGCCGTAATAATTCAACTGAATATAAAAATATCACACTGATAAGAAGTTACGGCCTGGGTTCAATGTGAAGATTGAAGACCCCATTGCATAATTTCCCAGACTTTAACATCCGGACGTCTCACCGTTGCACGTTTTTCCGTCTGGCTGCAGGCTGAATCCGACGGCGCAGCGGCACCGGCTCTCCGTCTCCGACACGGGGAAGCAGAGGTGCTGGCAGCCGCCGTTATTGTCGCGGCACGGCGGTGAGTCGCCCTCGGGCTGTTCCTCCGGGTCGTATACGGTTAGAGAGAGAACCTCACCGTCGGAGAACGCTGGAACACAGGAGCACAGTCAGGGGAACCCTCGCTGTTGAGCGCTGGAACACGGGAGCACTGACAGGGGAACCCTCGCTATTCAGTGCTGGAACACGGGAACACGGTCAGAGAGAGTGCCTCGCCGTCAGAGAACGCTGGAAAACACGGACAGGGGAGCAGCTCGTCGTTAAGAAACGGTGAAACACGGGAGAACAGCCGGAGTCGCACTCTAATAGGTGACTCGTATAGTTAGTAGCTAAGGGCGACGCTTACACTCCGGTCGTAAGACAATCATGATGGGAGACTGTATTAAAACGTTTTTGGTGAAAGTCTTCTGCTGGTTAAGGCTCAAAACAGTCATTATATCCAGCTCACTACCTAATTAATTGCCTGACTGCTAGTCAAAAACATCAGCCCCAGGTTCTCAACGGCCGCCTGGGCCCATGTCACCAGCCGACGGCATATCCTATAAAAAAACATGTTCGGGTAAGCCCACTCACCGGTGCCGTTCCTCAGCGGCCGTTTATCCTTGCCGCTCAGTTCCTCCACAGAAGCTACCGTGCGGGTGGTATCGTCAGCAAAGTACAGCCTGCCGCGGTGCACCGTGATGGCACCGGGCCGGGCGTCGCCAAGCGGTACGCGGCCCGGTCCTCCGCTCAGCTGGTGGCCCGTCGGAGGCGCCAAGTCCCAGTATCGCACCTCGCGCTCGGCTTCGAGCCAGAAGAGCAGCCGCATCCGGCGGTCCAGGCTCAGAGATGTGATGCTGATCGGGTGTGTGAGGTTCTCCCAGAGTACAGTTATGTTCTCGCCGGCCATTGTGGCCTGCATCACCCTGAGAACCGAGGACGGAGACGTGAGTCCGGCGCCAGGCTCGGGGGCTAGGTGACGCACAGTTATTCAGTGAGAGCTACGCGTCCGCGAAGAGCTGATAAAAATACCCGTACCTAGCATGCGTCATTGGTTTTTCAGGCTGACGGTGTGTCACCGAACGTCCGGACTGGATTCAATATAAGGAAGATAACTTTCACGAGGGTCACGATACAGTTAGACTAGAAAATGAAATACACGTAGAATATAACCAAGTAAGATTAAGGTATTTATAGTCACCGTGAGATTACCTAGGGAATGATCCAAGTCTAATCACATTATTTAGATACTCCTCACTCCCTCCAAACAAAAGAAGTTATAGGAGAGTTAAGAAACAGACAAGCATGTGACAACCAAATGAACGCGCCATCTCAGCCCTCTCGCCTCCAGTGCGGCGCAGCCCACCTGCTGCTGGGTCCCGTGTTTCCATTGCTGGTGCTGATGTAGTACATGGTGCCGGTAGTGGGGTCCACCTGGAGGTCGGAAAGGTGGCCGCTCTCCGACGTCAGTAACACCGTGTACAGTGCTCCCTGTGGGCAGGAAAACACAAGGTGAGATACAGCAGCATCGTGTACAGCGCTCTCTCTGAGCACGAGGGAAGAGTGAGAGCGACGGCAGTTGATAGTGAGTGCTGCTGCATAACATTTGTGTGCTGCAAAGTATTGGCACAAAAAAAAAACATAGAAATCAATAATTATGCATCGATTAAAAAATCGGTCGCCACAGCAAATGGTGATCCGTTGCAACAAACCATTTCGTCAAAAGTTACAAAATACCGGTGTACCCGTAATAAAGCCTGTACTGGCCAGGCAGCGACTGTAGCCACCGAAGCGGCTAGCTTCACCAACCACAACCAAAAATACGGGAAGATTCCGAACACTTGTTAGCATCTAGCTTACGTTGTGTTTACTATACACAATAGTAATGTCGACAGAGCCGAGACGAGCCGCTGGAGGCGTCGGATCACCATACCTGTAGATTAGTGGCAGCAATTTGCGATCCCGTGGCCACGAACAACACGTCAGACTGCCAGTCTACGGCCACCCCCTGTGGGGAGCTCACTGTTGGCAGGAGAGGGACAACACGTCAGACTGTCAGTCTACGGCTACACCCTGAGGGAAGGGATAAATCACTGGCAGGGGAAAGAGCATGTTCGGCAACTGACACAGGGTAGGGGATGGCATAACACGTCAGGCTGCCAGTCCACGGCTAGGCCAGGCGGGAGCTCATTGCCGGCAGGGGGATGGAGAATATCCCATCACTGGCACAAGGTAGAAGACCCAAGAGGGTGGAGGAAAGAGGAAAGCGATTCACGTGAATATGAATGTCCCAACACTGAAAGGTCGTACCTGAAAAGGCAAAGCACTCGCTACCCATGTTAACGAACAATACAATCAGTATTGCAATCAGTATACGATAAGTTGACTCCAAACGCTACGCTAAAACGATCAATCCGACGACGTTTTCTAGCAACTCGAATACCCTAGTTGCCTTATCTACCTACTATCCCCTGCCCTGCCCTGTCCCTTCAGCTCCCTGCCTGCCTACCTACCTCCCTCCCTCCCTCCCTCTCCCCGAGTCCCCTCCCTCGCGGTCTCACCAGCCACCAGAGTCTCGGTGGGCCCGCTGATCAGGCTCTGTCCGGCCACCTCCGCCGCCCGGTCAGCCCACACCACCAGCCGGCGCCGCGCGTGAAACGCCACCTGCACTGGCTGGCGCACGTGCGGCTCGGCCACACGGGGCACCACGTGGTAGAAGCTCGAGTCCAGGTCGACGCCACGCACGTTGTCCTCCAGACCGAGAACCAGGATACGCTCGTTTCCTGTCGAAACGGACGGGCGCGATGAATGGGTAGCGTAGCTCAATACTGAGCAAAACAACGCCAACAAGCTTGAAAACACGGTTTGAAAATAAAAAAAATGGCAAGCTTTAATAATAAAGCAGGAGGTGCCACCACCACCTGAGCCATAAAGTTATCTATACAAATGCGAAAGGGCATAATTAGCTGAGGTTCTATCCCGATAACTAAGGCAGCGCTTTCAGGAGTAGGTACTGTAAGTACCGACACCCCTAGAGACTCATAAGTGAGCACTACCAAAACCATCGCCATAAAAATGTCCAGTAATGTCAAACCACATACTTCCCGAAATAAAATTTTACTTATCAATTCAGACAGCATCCGAAGAACGCACACAACAGAAAACTCTATTCGGCGGATAGCACTGAGCAAATTTCGTATCCTACACCAAAGTACTTAAGTACAGCGTGGGATACGAAATTTATCCAACACCAATCCTACACCATCCCACCCCCTGAGCTAACTCACTGATGCAGTTGACACCGTCCTTGTCCAGTTTCATCAGGTGAGGACAGTGGCACTCGTAGCCACCCTCTGTGTTCAGCAGACAGAGGTGAGAGCAGCCACCGAAGCGGCGACCGCACGGGTTCTTCATCGCCGGCTGACGCGAGCTGTGCAGGATCTTCACATCGAACGGCTGCGTGATGGTCATTTGGACAGAGTCGACGTCGCTGCCGTTCCACTTGTTGGCTCTGAGAGAAGAGACGGGGTGAAAGTAAGGTCGCAGGGCGGTGGAGATGACCACAAGACAGCCTGTGAGCCATCTATAAACATCTAACATCTAACAAAGAAACATCAACATCTAAGAAGCAGGACATGACGTTGGAGACGCGAATGATAATGAAACTGGCTTGAAATTACAAATGTGTGTAACTAGCATCGATGAAGAATTGCTGAAACACACAAGCCGGCAAGGGGCAATAGGCCAGTGGTGAGACTCAAGACCACTTCTCTCCAAAAAGATGGCTACCAGTCCCTATGGGGCCATCATTGGGAGAACGTCTACGTCTGGTCATTTGGACTCCCGCATCGTAAAATCCCGTCCCTGCTTCGACCCTCACCATCCCTTCCCTCCTCTCTCCTTCTCTCGTCGCACCTGACCACCGAGTTGGTCCTCCAGTCTGTCCCCCGACCCTTGTAACCCATCCCACCCTCCCCTCTCCCTTCCTCCGCGCACCTGACGACCGAGTTGGTCCTCCAGTCGGTCCAGTAGACGTCGTTGCCGAACACGGTGACGGCGAACGGATGCTCCAGGTACGAGTGGTCCTTCAGCACCACGCGGCGGTCGGTGCCGTCGTAGCGGATTGTCTGCACCGAGTCCAGCCTGCCGCCAGGGAACGGTCATGGGTCAGGTCAACGGTCAAGGAAGGAGACTGAAAAATCGGCCGAAGGGGATAGGCGAGTTGGCAAAAAGGAATAGAGGCAAGAAGCACAGAGAATGTACTATGTGAGTTTAGACAAGAATCGATCATATCGAAAACCACAGCAGGTTACACGGCGATATATGGGACAGATGAAGTCAATCATAAAGAAACGCTGCCGTATATCATCAGTCATCACCCACGCATCACACATTGTTTATCAAAAGGTAATATTTACGCTGTAATCTCCCTATATTTTCCCAATTACGTACTTGGCGTCCGCCCAATAGACCCTGCGCGCCTCGTAGTCCAGACTGAGCCCGTTGGGCCAGGCGCCGGCGGCACTGGCGTCCGCCTCATAGACGACGCGCCTCTGTCCGCCGGCCATGGAGGCGGCCTCGATGCGTGGACGCTCCTCGTCCCAGTCGGTCCACATCAGAATACTGCGGGAGCGGAGGGAGAGGGGGTTAGAAGTGAGCGTGAGGGAGGGATGGTGGCCCGCTAAGGCAGCCTACATAGACCAACTTACGACAAAGAACACAGAACCACACAGTGCACACATACCACAGTTATACACAAGCTGACACAATCAATGGACACAAAGGCAAGAGCACGCCGTAAAGATACGCGCGGAAATAAGATCTACAGTGCTGGTTTTACGTTGCATCCCTCCAGGCTGCCCCCGACTCACTCCCCGTAGGTAACTCAACCTTCTCTTTCTCACCCATCGCGCGGGTCGAGCGCCAGAGCTCGCGGCTTTTTCATGTTGCCCGCGACGAGCGCCTTGCGGAACCGTCCATCCAGTCGGGCCACCTCGATCTGCGAGACGTGCGACTCGACCCAGTAGAGGTTGTGTCCCACCCAGTCCACGGCCAGGCCCTCGGCGGTCACCAGGCCCGTGGAGATGACCGCGTCCACGTCTGACAGCACTGAAGGACAGACGGGGGGGGGGGAGGGTGGTCAGCCATTGTAGCCACCGACCAGGGCAGGTGCTGGGTGTATGGGCATGCCTTGTGATACAGCCTGGCTGAATGCAGCCGCGATATGGATATTATCTTAAAAAATGCTACAACTTTTGTCAACTAAAAACAGTGTGGAGTAGACAGAGTTGAAGCTGGCACTGTGTCACAAAAAAACTGCACTAAAGGCTGAAACAGACTCTTTCCGCATTCAGGAAGCCGCATGTGAGAGCCTAGTTATTCAAACACATTATAATTCTTCCCGCATCAACCGCATCCGGGAGGTGCGTGCGATTGATGCGAGCGTGCTTCGATGTATTTGAATAGGCTCTCGCATGCGATTTCCTGACTGCGGAAAGAGTCTGTTTCAGGCATAAGCATTCTAAACATTCGCAATGCCAATATCAGAACCGAAATGAGGCAATTTGCTCCTCCCTTACCAAACACCTGCCCGATACCGCCTCCCCCCCCCCCCCACACACACATACAAACACATTCAGAAATCAGAGGTCGCTCCCTACCCTCAGCTTCACGCGACTCACATCCATTACTGAGCGTGCCTCGGAAGATCTTATCGTGCGTGATGTCCGACCAGAAGACGGTCAGGGCGCCGTCGGTCGTGCCGTACAGGTAGTCGAAGGCGATGGCGTTCTTGAGGCCGGAGAGAGCCGAGGTCACCTTCAGCGTCCGCAGCTGGACGGTGCGCAGTTCGAACCGGTTGGAGAACATCAGCAGCGGGGGCGAGTCGTCTGAGGCAGCGCGGGCGGGGGTGACGATGGTTAGGTGGGGTGTCAGGGCCGCGGGGTGGTAGGTGGGGAGTTTCTTTTTAGTAAACCCCTTCTTCTATTCTTTCTCATTCCCTCGAGTCATCTCTTATCCCTCTCCTATCTGCATCCCTTCCCCTCCCTATCTCCTTCCCTTCCTCGTTCTCCTCTCTTCCCTAATTCCTCATTCTTCGTCCCTCCCTTTCCTCAGCAATTTCCTTCCCTCATTCCTTCCCTGTCCTCGTCCCCCTAACTTCCTTCGTCACTATCCCTCCGTAATCCGCCTCCCTTTAATTATCCCCTTCACGCATCCCAAGCGCTTCCTCCCATGTCCTCATCCTCTCACCCTCGCTGACACAGCTGAACCCGTCCCGATCCAGCCGGTAGCCCTCCTGACAGCCGCACTTGTGTCGGTGTCGCAGCTGGAAGCAGAGCTGACTGCAGGTGCCCCAGTCTTCACACGGGTGGCCATCCGTACACGATCGGCCGTCATTGGCCAGCCGCTGACCGCGGGGACACACACAGGCCGGTCCGGACGGAGTGGCCACACACTGGTATTCGCAGTCCGGGCATTGGGACGGCGGCGCGCCCAGGTCTGTGGGAGGGGAGGGGTATGTCAGTGGAAGGAGAGATCAATATAAGGCACGCAGTTATGCGCACAGTTCACCATAGATACAGGGATAGGAAGAAATGTCGCACGAAATAAGCGACGGGTAAACTGAGGGCCAATCAGAGAAACACCGACAAGATTCTAGCAAGGTCTCATCTCAAATATTAGGAGAGGGAACTCAACAGTAAACAGATAACAGCAAGGGCCAACACTACTCTTTGGCGTATGACTGAATCAATGAGTAAGTGAGTGAGTGAGTGAGTGAGTGAGTGAGTGAGTGAGTGAGTGAGTGAGTGAGTGAGTGAGTGAGTGAGTGAGTGAGTGAGCGAGTGAGTGAGTGTGAGTGGCTCACCGCAGAGGAATCCCTCGTCGTCTCCCGACTCGCAGTCGGGCCGTCGGTCGCAGACCTTCTCCAGGGGCAGACAGCGGGTGCCGTTATCGCAGTGGAAGTCCGGCTCCGGGCAGGCGACCACCGGCAGCGGACAGTCCTGTCAGAGATCAGATCAGTTACCCTAACAGATCAGGTACAGTAGCATAAGTACATGGCTCCTAATACAACCATAAGTACAATTCGTAAATAGTTGTATAAAGTTCCGTGCAGATAAGACCAGGCCCAGTCCAATACATGTATGATCGTCGCCGGCCAAAATATGCAAACATCAATTTCTCATTACCTACTTCATCTGTCAGTGAATCCTGAACTACGGGATAGCTCAGATTTCACATACGGCCAACGTCCCATTCATACTATTCATCAACTCCCAGAGTACCCCTCGGTCTTTCCCCTCTACGCGTTAACCGTTTAGCCTCCCCTCCCTCCCCACCCACGTACCGCCTCGTCCGATCCATCACCGCAGTCCCGTTGGCCGTCACAGCGGTACTGTCCGGGCACACACTCTGAGCCGTCACTGCACTGGTGCTCTCCGGGCGCACAGGTGGTGAGACAGTCGGCTTCGTCGGAGCCGTCCGGACAGTCAGCCTGGCCGTCGCACACGGCCGTCCGCTGGACACAGATGGCGCCGCCGCCGCACGGCACCAGGCCCACAGCGGCGTTACCTGGCGGAGGGGGGATGTGAGCTGTACATACACAGATGGCGCCGCCGCCGCACGGCACCAGGCCCACAGCGGCGTTACCTGGCAGGGGGATAGATTATAGGGGAGGGAGACGTGAGCTGTACATATACAGATGGAGCCGCCGCCGCACGGCACCAGGCCGACAGCGGCGTGATAGATTATAGGGGAGGGAGACGTGAGCTGTACATATACAGATGGAGCCGCCGCCGCACGGCACCAGGCCCACAGCGGCGTTACCTGGCGGAGGGGGAGGTGGAGGGGGAATGTGAGCTGTACATACACAGATGGAGCCGCCGCCGCACGGCACCAGGCCCAGAGCGGCGTTACCTGGCGGAGGGAGGGAGAAGGGAGGTGTGAGCTGTACATATACAGATGGAGCCACCGCCGCACGGCACCAGGCCGACAGCGGCGTTACCTGACAGGGGGAAGGAAGGGCGACTGTGAGATGCAGTGTGAGACGGATGTATCAAATGCGGATGGTGTTATCACTACAGCTTTCTCCATGCTGCATCATAAATACATGTAAATGCTGACACACGTCTCACTAATCCCTCAAATTTATCACCAAATCACGAGCTCATTCACTCAGAACCATGCTCACTCATCCACCCAGCCCGTTATTGATTGATTGATTTATTCTGAAACAGAGGGTTGAGGTGTGGAGAAGGCCATACAGATCTTCCCCTTTACTGATTCATTCATTCATTCATTCATTCATTCATTCATTCATTCATTCATTCATTCATTCATTCATTCATTCATTCACTCACTCACTCACTCACTCACTCACTCACTCACTCACTCACTCACTCACTCACTCACTCTCACTCACTCACTCACTCACTCACTCACTCACTCACTCACTCACCCTCCTTTGTGTCGAAGCAGGGCGCCAGCTGCGACTGTTCCCGATCGGGCTGGGATGTGACGCAGGCGACTTCGTCCGAGCAGTCTGAACACTGGCAGGTACCGTCGCAAACCGCCGCGGAGGGAACGCACACGCCGTCCGCCGGACAGTAGCTCTGTCACAGAGAGAGACAAGGGTGAGAGGGGAAGAAGCGTCCAATGAGGTGTCTACCTGAATCCTCCACAGTGTCCATCCCCTCAACCTGTGTCCCGCCAGTTTCCCTTACCTCGACCTGCGGCCGGCAGATATCCCCACAGTTCTGCTCGTCGCTGCCGTCGCCGCAGTCGTCATGGCCGTTACAGACCAGAGACCACAGCCGGCAGCGGCGGTTGGCGCAGCGGAACTCGTTCGCCGTACAGTTGCGGTACTCTGTGCGCGTGCAGCGGGACGGGACGGGGCGGGTCAGACTCGGGGGAAGGAGGTTGGCAAAGTCATGTGCTGGTCATGTGCTGGTCACATGCAGCTGACCATATCACTAAGTTTAGTTGACCATATAAAGTTTAGGATTGAAAGGGCCGCTGTGGGGAGGAGCTGAAATATTTTTCGGAGCGTTTCGAGTTGTTCAATAATATACATATCTGTAACTGGTGAAATTTATACGTTTTCACCGTATAAATTTCACGTTTGCGCTATTCACGCATATGACTAGGCAGGAGTACGAATAAAAGCAACCATGTTTAGACAGCTGCACTCCTTCGATCCCCCTATTATGTCAACTGTGACACTGAGTGCAGTAGACAGCAATCACAGCCAGTGTGTGTGTGTGTGTGGGGAGGGGGGGGGGGAGTCGTCGCACTGCCGTCTCTCGTCCCTGCTCTTCTCCCATCGCCCCTGCCCTAGTCCCCAGCACTTACTGCAGGTGGGCGGCTCATCACTGCGGTCTCCGTGGCCACAGTCGGACGTCATATCACATACCCAGCTGTTGGGAATGCACCGGCCCGACTCCAGACACTTGAACCGATCCGGTCTGCCGGCATAAAGGTTAGGTTAGGGAGGTTAGGCACAATGCGCAACACAGAGGGGAATCAGGGCGCTGTTACAACCGCGCAGTAGTCGCGTTTTATTTGTACATTAAAACACGACGCTTAGAAACAGGGCCACATTGAATGTGCTGTTCAGAAGTTACATCTAAGGAACTATTCCAAGCTGAAGCGTTACTTGCTAGTCCACATGAATTATGCCTGAATAAATTACGCAGTAGATTAGAAAAATAGCTTGAGCACTATTTCCATGTGAACATACGCTGTCGATAGATTTCCCTCTATGATACGCCCTCCCGACAGCTCCCCAGACCGTCGTTATCAGTATCTACACTATACTCTGCCCTCCCGATGGCTCCTAAACTGCTGTCCATACACTACTCTCTACTATCTGCCCTCCCGGCGGCAGTTGTACTCACCCGCAGGTAACGTTGGCGCAGCGCTCTGCCGACTCATCACTCGCGTCCGCGCAGTCGGCGAAGCCGTCACATACCCAGGCGCTGGATACACACTGGAGGCCGGGTCCGCCGGAAGAGGAGGCGGCCGGGCCGCAGCGGACGCTCTCCTCGGGGCAGGTGGAGTTCTCTGAGCGGGGCGGAGGGGAGGGGCTGAGCTCAGCGACAAACACAACGACTAGCGCAGGCGTAACAGCGGGATCGGAGCGGGTCAGAACACTGCGACTCAAGCAGTGCGACTCAACACAGCAATCAACACAACAACCACACACCAATAGCTGCAGAGTGGATGCCGCCAAAGACAGAATTACCACGAAATAAAACTAAAGAAGGTCGAGTGTTTAGCCTTTGAGAGCTCTTCACTACACATTCTGGGATATGGGCGTGCCCGCAAACTGCATCACATTGAGCTCAGCGACAAACACAGCGACTAGCACAGGCGCAACAGCGGGAGCAGAGCCCCGCTGTTGCTCCACGATCTCTAGCAATTATACTCCCGGTTCTCCTCTGCAATCGCTTATCTCCGTTATACTCACGGCACGGTCCATTGACGTGGTCCTCGTCTGAGGCGTCCTCGCAATCGTTTCTGCCGTCACATACAAACCTGGCAAAGCACACAGAGAAGTGGGGGAGGAAACCAGCGAGTTAGGAAAGGCGACATCTGCAAGCAGGCACCCCACCCGCAAAGATTGGAAGCACCTGCAAGCACCTCCCGTCCAGAGCCATTACTTCTTTTCTCATTCCGTTCCAATCCGCTCCGCCCCACAAATCCATCCTGCACCTATCCCTTCATATCTCAAGAACGAACTTTGATGCTATGACTCACCGGCCCTCACTCCACTCACATTCCGCGAATATTCCTCCCCGACCGCCGAGCCGTACTCACTGTTTGTCGATACACCGGCCGTTCTTCAGACAGCGGAACTGGTCACCCGTGCAGGCGAGCGGGTCCGTGTAGCCCTCGATGGCGACACAGGAGCGTCCGTCGTCGGCCAGCTGGAGACCATCGGCACACAGACAGCGGTGGCCGGAGGGGACGGACACGCAGAGGTGCTCGCAGCGCAGGTCGTGGCAGCCGCCGCCAAGTAGCTGGACGCCGCCTGTCAGACGGTCCGGCTGGTCAGTGGGATGATAGGACGACCGACAAGAGTGAGGGGTACTACGGCGGTAAACTGATTACAATGACCCGACTAGTAAAGGAACTGAGCAACGGCAGCGGGGTGTGTTGTGAAAAAAACGGGCGCGCCCGAGACCCCACCAGACCACGCCGCAGCTTTGACCGCAGGGATGCAGCTTTAGTCGGCAAACACCAAGACGGGTGTCACCTACGAATACTTCAAAATAGTAGCTCACCCAACGATTACAGCTGCTTGAGACGCCCACCTATCACACCGTCTTACCTTATTTAATGATATGATCACCAGTCATCACCCACTCATTCACCAGAACCGACATCTCTCCACAAAAGCTCACCTCCAAACCACAGTGCGACCAAGAGCACACACCACAGCAAACCCGGCCTACCACACTCTCTAGCCAGTAGCCACACTGTCCCGGCAGCAACCACCCACCTGCCGTTCCGTCGCCGAGTTCGCAGACGTGCGCCGCTTCCATGGCTCCTGGCGCCTCCCTGAGTCGCTTCAACTGTCCCGAGGTGGTGTTCAGACTCCACAGCCAGCTGCCAGCCGAGCTGATGAGTGTTCCGTTCGACAGGACGGCCACCGGGCTGAGGTCGGTCAGTGCCTCCCACTGAGCTGATGAGTTGGCATTGACGCTGACATCCTGAGGCGAGGCAGAATTCGACAGAACGTCAAACTATGTTCAAATTACGCAGTAGACTAGCCACTGACGACTTTAAATCAATTCACTTCAAGTACACCAGCTACACAATAACCAAGACCAGTCAACACCCCCCCCCCCACACACACACACTTCGTACGTCCTGTATTCATCACTCACCTCCAATTGACTGCCGTTCACGTTCATTCTCTTTAGCACATTATCCACGCTCAGGTAGAGCTTCTGCTGCCGCCTGTCCAGAGCTACACCGCCGCGTACTCTCTGTTCGAACTCGTGCACCGTCTCCCGGTGCGTGCCGTCCATCCAGGCTCGCTCCAGCCGCCACACTAGGCTGCTCGGACGGCCGAAGGTGAAACTGGCTCTCTCGGCAGTAGACTTGGGCAAGGACAGCCAGTACATCCATCTGAAACATAGTTATCAGACCGTGTTAAACGTTGTACCAGTCACCCAATTTGTGCGGCCGCGACGACAACTGAGAGCTGCCTCGCACAAATTTAATACGCGATTGTCTCCCTGTCCGTCAATCTTCGATTCATTCCCGTCTCCGTCCCGTCTTCATCCCATGCCATCTCGCATCAATACCATCCTCGCCCTAAAGCCCGCTGCATCCCGTTTCATCTAATCCTGTATCACATCTCTTTCCGTCTATTTTCCATCACGTACCATTCCGTTCCATCCCATCCCCTCCCCATCTCCCTTAGTTCCCTTTCTGTCTCTGCTCACCTCCCATCCCCATCCCTCACCTATTCCCTACCCTCCCCGCCCATCTCCTCTCCCTTTCCCGGCACTCACCCGCTCCCCGGGTCCAGCACAAAACTGGCTCTGTTCAGTAGCGTCACATCAGTGAGCAGCAGGCGGCGGCGGTGCGGTGCCTCCAGCGAGGCCACTGATAGCGTCGACGCCTCGGCGTCTGCCCAGTAGACCACGTCCGAGACGGGGTCGACGGACACAGAGCGACACAGCAGCACCCGGTCGGAGACGATGGCCGAACGGTTCGATGGCGACTCCAGCGGCCGGGTCGAGATGGGAGCCCTAAGGACGGGGAGGGGGAGATGTCATAGGGGAGGCACAGGTGGCAGGCAAAAAACAAGATACGGAAATGGGAGACCGTGGGGCTTATTCGGATAAATCTATTAAAATAATTCACATAACAGACTGTCACTCAAAATATCACTAGACACTCCCGCAGTTCACACTCACATCACGAATATCCACTCCCCCACACAGAGGATCCAAACTCAACTCAGCCGTCAGGCCGCACTCACGCGCCCCAGGGATTCGGGAGTTGACACGCCCTGAGTGCCCAGCCGCGTCGCCACTCACCCGCCACGGTGGTCGCAGAAGACAAGCAGTCGCCGCCGCGGGTGGCAGTCGCCCAGGTTGATCCTGGCCCGGTCGTCTATATTATCTAATCCTATATCGTTCCCGTCAAACAGGGGCGGTATGACATCGCCGAGCTCTGACCCGGTCAGGGAGAACCCGGCCAGACTGTGGGGCAGCTCGGCCAGTAGCAGATGACCGGAGACGGGTGCCGCTGTGGGTGGACAGAGAGGTACAGTAGAGGGACAACAAGTTCCAAACGGTTACACGTCGGCCAACAACAGTTAAGTGTTTAAAAGTTACTCAAATCATATCACAACTGCTAGCGTCTGACACACTATGTTGACATCAGCTAAAACACCCCAAAGACAAGCATACTTGCTGCACCTTCGTCGGCCGGGGTCATCCCCTCACCTGAGCAGCGTCCCTGACCCGTGAGCCGGTAGCCGGGCGAGCACAGGCAGCGGGCCACGGCCGAGCCGTTCACAGTCACAGGCACGCAGATGTGTTCACAACCGCCGTTACCAGTCGTACACGGGTGCGACACTGCCGGCGGGAAGAGGGAAGCGGTCAGAGAATTGAGAGAGGCGTTTGGAGGAGGGCGGCCTGGTCCGCCGCCGTTCGTAGCCGTACACGGGTGGGCCACTGGCTGCAGAGGGAGATGTGCTCAGAAGATAGCCTGGTTCGGTCACGGACAGAGTGATCTGGTCAGATGGGGGAAGGTGGGCCACTGTCGGCGGAGGGTGGACCGGTGCATCTCCCACTGTCCTTCCGTTTCTTGTCACCCGTGTTTCACAGCTGTCACACCCTCACACAATCCCTCTGTTCCCACAATCTCTCACTGTCCCTCCGTTCCCCGGCTGCCGTCGTTTCTCACTGTCCAACTATCCCTTTGTGCCCTCCATCTGCTCTCACCGTCCCTCTGTTCCCTCCATCCCTCACTGTCCCTGTTCCCTCAAACCCTCACCGCCCAAATGTTCCCTCCATTGCTCCCCATCCCCATCTAGTGACTCTGTTCTGTCACTGTTCCCTCGTATCTCTCACCGTCGGGCTGCCGCTGCCGGTGGTACACGCGGACCGTAACCAGGTACTGGTCAGAACGACTCTGCAGCGGCCGCGGCAGCGAGCCAGCACCAAACAGTTCCGTGGTGTTCCAGGCGGGTCGGCCGAAACGGTAGAGCGTCGGCGGGCTGGACCGGACGCCGTACACCCGTCCGGCCAGCACGTCCAGAGAGATCAGAGCCTGCGACACAACAACGAAGGGGAGAGCGTCACTTAATGGCGGGTTGAGGGGAAAGGTAGGAGGCATATGACAGCGGAAACATAGTACCCTACGTTCCCGACTAGAGGTGGCGAAATGTGGACCCGGGGACCCGGTCTGTGGAACCGGTCTGAACCCGGATGGGTCCAGATCGGTTCCCAAAAATTTTTGGTCGGGTCCAACCGGGTCTTATCATTCCCTGTGCTTTATGGTAAATGTAACTATCTATTATGCTTGGCAAACCTAGTTGATGAAGCTTCCATTTGACTGGTGAAGGCACTGCTCTATGGATCCCCAGGTTCACACTTCATATCATTTCTAACAGCTGCAGTAAGGGGCTTAGCATGAAATTCATTGGTCTACCTGTTTATATATATATATATATATATATATATATATATATATATATATATATATATATATATATATATATATATATATATATATATATATATATATATATATATATATATATATATATATATATATATGTTACAGGGAGTATGCGATTTCAGTTAGTTTGCAACGACCCTAGGGTGGTTGTAACCTCCCTGAACGATCAGTTTGTTTGCAACGACCCTAGGGACGTTACAAAATAACTGCTCGTTCCGGGACGTTGTAACGAAACTAGGGTCTTTGCAACCTCCCTAGTTAGTATGCAACGAACCTAGGGTTGTTACAAAATAACTAGGGAGTTTAAGAATTCATCGAGTCTCGTTTCACAGGAGGGCCGTCAACAATCTTGTCCAATGAAAATCTTGTTCAATCTAGTTCACCTAGTTCAAATCTAGTTCAATCTAGTTCAAAGAAAAGGAGAACAAAACAATTTGAACATGCAGCTCAGGAGTATTTCACGACGGCCATCTAGTATACATTTTGTGCAGATTAGGTGCACATTTGGTGCAGATTTGTTCAAATTAGATGGGCATTCGCTAGGAAGCCCTTCGTAAAAACGGCTATTATCCGCTCGTTTCCAGTCTTTTTGTGATTGTAAACGTTCACACATGTGAAATGATGGTGGTCCCATGCATTATGGTGGGTGTCAAGGTTACGTGAAGGTCAGGTCAAGGTCATTGACCTTTGATGACCTTAGTTCACTTCTTCTGGGTTCGTATATTTTTAGGCTAGTTTTTGGAGCTGATTTCGAATTTAGCACCCATTTGAACATTTACGAAGTAATTTTGGCGCCTTCGTACCATGTCACGAAGCTGTCAGTGGTGGTTGACACCTACTATGGACAGCTAGCAAGACGCCTACTGGTTGACCTGACCTGACCTGACCCGGCCTGGCCTAAAAACATCAAGACATCATCGGTGATTAAAGCTAACATGAAATGCGTGATCAGCGCCCCGAAAAACCTCGTAACAACCCAACTCCATGTGCGTGAAGTTGGCGTCGGATTCGGATTCGTATTCAGCGTCGAGTACCGAATCACTTGAAAACGTCATATCTGGTCAATTCGGGGACGGGGAGCACGAATATGACATTAATTTTGCCCTAGCAGGTATCCCTTATCCCTTAATCGTCCCTTAAACGACGGGGCGCGCCAAAAGTGCCTCAGGGGTTCTTCTGATCGCGAAAATAATGGTCCCAGGCGATTCCCCGGGTCGATATCTAGCCGCACCACCACTAACTTCACACGTGCCTCATATCCCTTATCCCTTAATCGTCCCTTAAACGACGGGGCGCGCCAAAAGTGCCTCAGGGGTTCTTCCGATCGCGAAAATAATGGTCCCAGGCAATTCCCCGGGTCGATATCTAGCCGCACCACCACTAACTTCACACGTGCCTCACATCCCTCATCCCTTAATCGTCCCTTAAACGACGGGGCGCGCCAAAAGTGCCTCAGGGGTTCTTCTGATCGCGAAAATAATGGTCCCAGGCGATTCCCCGGGTCGATATCTAGCCGCACCACCACTAACTTCACACGTGCCTCATATCCCTTATCCCTTAATCGTCCCTTAAATGACGGGGCGCGCCAAAAGTGCCTCAGGGGTTCTTCCGATCGCGAAAATAATGGTCCCAGGCAATTCCCCGGGTCGATATCTAGCCGCACCACCACTAACTTCACACGTGCCTCACATCCTTCATCCCTTAATCGTCCCTTAAACGACGGGGCGCGCCAAAAGTGCCTCAGGGGTTCTTCTGATCGCGAAAATAATGGTCCCAGGCGATTCCCCGGGTCGATATCTAGCCGCACCACCACTAACTTCACACGTGCCTCATATCCCTTATCCCTTAATCGTCCCTTAAACGACGGGGCGCGCCAAAAGTGCCTCAGGGGTTCTTCCGATCGCGAAAATAATGGTCCCAGGCAATTCCCCGGGTCGATATCTAGCCGCACCACCACTAACTTCACACGTGCCTCACATCCCTCATCCCTTAATCGTCCCTTAAACGACGGGGCGCGCCAAAAGTGCCTCAGGGGTTCTTCTGATCGCGAAAATAATGGTCCCAGGCGATTCCCCGGGTCGATATCTAGCCGCACCACCACTAACTTCACACGTGCCTCATATCCCTCATCCCTTAATCGTCCCTTAAACGACGGGGCGCGCCAAAAGTGCCTCAGGGGTTCTTCCGATCGCAAAAAGAATGGTCCCAGGCGATTCCCCGGGTCGATATCTAGCCGCACCACCACTAACTTCACACGTGCCTCATATCCCTTATCCCTTAATCGTCCCTTAAATGACGGGGCGCGCCAAAAGTGCCTCAGGGGTTCTTCTGATCGCGAAAATAATGGTCCCAGGCGATTCCCCGGGTCGATATCTAGCCGCACCACCACTAACTTCACACGTGCCTCATATCCCTTATCCCTTAATCGTCCCTTAAATGACGGGGCGCGCCAAAAGTGCCTCAGGGGTTCTTCCGATCGCGAAAAGAATGGTCCCAGGCGATTCCCCGGGTCGATATCTAGCCGCACCACCACTAACTTCACACGTGCCTCATATCCCTTATCCCTTAATCGTCCCTTAAATGACGGGGCGCGCCAAAAGTGCCTCAAGGGTTCTTCCGATCGCGAAAAGAATGGTCCCAGGCGATTCCCCGGGTCGATATCTAGCCGCACCACCACTAACTTCACACGTGCCTCATATCCCTTATCCCTTAATCGTCCCTTAAATGACGGGGCGCGCCAAAAGTGCCTCAGGGGTTCTTCCGATCGCGAAAAGAATGGTCCCAGGCGATTCCCCGGGTCGATATCTAGCCGCACCACCACTAACTTCACACGTGCCTCATATCCCTTATCCTTTAATCGTCCCTTAAATGACGGGGCGCGCCAAAAGTGCCTCAGGGGTTCTTCCGATCGCGAAAAGAATGGTCCCAGGCGATTCCCCGGGTCGATATCTAGCCGCACCACCACTAACTTCACACGTGCCTCATATCCCTTATCCCTTAATCGTCCCTTAAACGACGGGGCGCGCCAAAAGTGCCTCAGGGGCTCTTCCGATCACGAAAATAATGGTCCCAGGCGATTCCCCGGGTCGATATCTAGCCGCACCACCACTAACTTCACACGTGCCTCATATCCCTTATCCCTTAATCGTCCCTTAAATGACGGGGCGCGCCAAAAGTGCCTCAGGGGTTCTTCCGATCGCGAAAATAATGGTCCCAGGCAATTCCCCGGGTCGATATCTAGCCGCACCACCACTAACTTCACACGTGCCTCACATCCCTCATCCCTTAATCGTCCCTTAAACGACGGGGCGCGCCAAAAGTGCCTCAGGGGTTCTTCTGATCGCGAAAATAATGGTCCCAGGCGATTCCCCGGGTCGATATCTAGCCGCACCACCACTAACTTCACACGTGCCTCATATCCCTTATCCCTTAATCGTCCCTTAAATGACGGGGCGCGCCAAAAGTGCCTCAGGGGTTCTTCCGATCGCGAAAAGAATGGTCCCAGGCGATTCCCCGGGTCGATATCTAGCCGCACCACCACTAACTTCACACGTGCCTCATATCCCTTATCCCTTAATCGTCCCTTAAATGACGGGGCGCGCCAAAAGTGCCTCAGGGGTTCTTCCGATCGCGAAAAGAATGGTCCCAGGCGATTCCCCGGGTCGATATCTAGCCGCACCACCACTAACTTCACACGTGCCTCATATCCCTTATCCCTTAATCGTCCCTTAAATGACGGGGCGCGCCAAAAGTGCCTCAGGGGTTCTTCCGATCGCGAAAATAATGGTCCCAGGCAATTCCCCGGGTCGATATCTAGCCGCACCACCACTAACTTCACACGTGCCTCATATCCCTTATCCCTTAATCGTCCCTTAAATGACGGGGCGCGCCAAAAGTGCCTCAGGGGCTCTTCCGATCGCGAAAATAATGGTCCCAGGCGATTCCCCGGGTCGATATCTAGCCGCACCACCACTAACTTCACACGTGCCTCATATCCCTTATCCCTTAATCGTCCCTTAAATGACGGGGCGCGCCAAAAGTACCTCAGGGGCTCTTCCGATCGCGAAAATAATGGTCCCAGGCGATTCCCCGGGTCGATATCTTGCCGCACCACCACTAACTTCACACGTGCCTCATATCCCTTATCCCTTAATCGTCCCTTAAATGACGGGGCGCGCCAAAAGTGCCTCAGGGGTTCTTCCGATCGCGAAAATAATGGTCCCAGGCAATTCCCCGGGTCGATATCTAGCCGCACCACCACTAACTTCACACGTGCCTCATATCCCTTATCCCTTAATCGTCCCTTAAATGACGGGGCGCGCCAAAAGTGCCTCAGGGGCTCTTCCGATCGCGAAAATAATGGTCCCAGGCGATTCCCCGGGTCGATATCTAGCCGCACCACCACTAACTTCACACGTGCCTCATATCCCTTATCCCTTAATCGTCCCTTAAATGACGGGGCGCGCCAAAAGTGCCTCAGGGGCTCTTCCGATCGCGAAAATAATGGTCCCAGGCGATTCCCCGGGTCGATATCTTGCCGCACCACCACTAACTTCACACGTGCCTCATATCCCTTATCCCTTAATCGTCCCTTAAATGACGGGGCGCGCCAAAAGTGCCTCAGGGGTTCTTCCGATCGCGAAAATAATGGTCCCAGGCGATTCCCCGGGTCGATATCTAGCCGCACCACCACTAACTTCACACGTGCCTCATATCCCTTATCCCTTAATCGTCCCTTAAATGACGGGGCGCGCCAAAAGTGCCTCAGGGGCTCTTCCGATCGCGAAAATAATGGTCCCAGGCGATTCCCCGGGTCGATATCTAGCCGCACCACCACTAACTTCACACGTGCCTCATATCCCTTATCCCTTAATCGTCCCTTAAATGACGGGGCGCGCCAAAAGTGCCTCAGGGGCTCTTCCGATCGCGAAAAGAATGGTCCCAGGCGATTCCCCGGGTCGATATCTAGCCGCACCACCACTAACTTCACACGTGCCTCATATCCCTTATCCCTTAATCGTCCCTTAAATGACGGGGCGCGCCAAAAGTGCCTCAGGGGTTCTTCCGATCGCGAAAATAATGGTCCCAGGCAATTCCCCGGGTCGATATCTAGCCGCACCACCACTAACTTCACACGTGCCTCACATCCCTCATCCCTTAATCGTCCCTTAAACGACGGGGCGCGCCAAAAGTGCCTCAGGGGTTCTTCCGATCGCGAAAAGAATGGTCCCAGGCGATTCCCCGGGTCGATATCTAGCCGCACCACCACTAACTTCACACGTGCCTCATATCCCTTATCCCTTAATCGTCCCTTAAATGACGGGGCGCGCCAAAAGTGCCTCAGGGGCTCTTCCGATCGCGAAAATAATGGTCCCAGGCGATTCCCCGGGTCGATATCTAGCCGCACCACCACTAACTTCACACGTGCCTCATATCCCTTAACCCTTAATCGTCCCTTAAATGACGGGGCGCGCCAAAAGTGCCTCAGGGGTTCTTCCGATCGCGAAAATAATGGTCCCAGGCAATTCCCCGGGTCGATATCTAGCCGCACCACCACTAACTTCACACGTGCCTCACATCCCTCATCCCTTAATCGTCCCTTAAACGACGGGGCGCGCCAAAAGTGCCTCAGGGGTTCTTCCGATCGCGAAAAGAATGGTCCCAGGCGATTCCCCGGGTCGATATCTAGCCGCACCACCACTAACTTCACACGTGCCTCATATCCCTTATCCCTTAATCGTCCCTTAAATGACGGGGCGCGCCAAAAGTGCCTCAGGGGCTCTTCCGATCGCGAAAATAATGGTCCCAGGCGATTCCCCGGGTCGATATCTTGCCGCACCACCACTAACTTCACACGTGCCTCATATCCCTTATCCCTTAATCGTCCCTTAAATGACGGGGCGCGCCAAAAGTGCCTCAGGGGTTCTTCCGATCGCGAAAATAATGGTCCCAGGCAATTCCCCGGGTCGATATCTAGCCGCACCACCACTAACTTCACACGTGCCTCACATCCCTCATTTGGCGCGCCCCGTCATTTAAGGGACGATTAAGGGATAAGGAATATGAGGCACGTGTGAAGTTAGTGGTGGTGCGGCTAGATATCGACCCGGGGAATCGCCTGGGACCATTATTTTCGCGATCAGAAGAACCCCTGAGGCACTTTTGGCGCGCCCCGTCATTTAAGGGACGATTAAGGGATAAGGGATATGAGGCACGTGTGAAGTTAGTGGTGGTGCGGCTAGATATCGACCCGGGGAATCGCCTGGGACCATTCTTTTCGCGATCGGAAGAACCCCTGAGGCACTTTTGGCGCGCCCCGTCGTTTAAGGGACGATTAAGGGATAAGGGATATGAGGCACGTGTGAAGTTAGTGGTGGTGCGGCAAGATATCGACCCGGGGAATCGCCTGGGACCATTATTTTCGCGATCGGAAGAGCCCCTGAGGCACTTTTGGCGCGCCCCGTCATTTAAGGGACGATTAAGGGATAAGGGATATGAGGCACGTGTGAAGTTAGTGGTGGTGCGGCTAGATATCGACCCGGGGAATCGCCTGGGACCATTCTTTTCGCGATCGGAAGAACCCCTGAGGCACTTTTGGCGCGCCCCGTCGTTTAAGGGACGATTAAGGGATGAGGGATGTGAGGCACGTGTGAAGTTAGTGGTGGTGCGGCTAGATATCGACCCGGGGAATCGCCTGGGACCATTATTTTCGCGATCAGAAGAACCCCTGAGGCACTTTTGGCGCGCCCCGTCGTTTAAGGGACGATTAAGGGATAAGGGATACCTGCTAGGGCAAAATTAATGTCATATTCGTGCTCCCCGTCCCCGAATTGACCAGATATGACGTTTTCAAGTGATTCGGTACTCGACGCTGAATACGAATCCGAATCCGACGCCAACTTCACGCACATCCCAACTCCAAAGTTTTAACAGGTCCCGATTTTCCCGACTTTTGAGTCAGTGACCTGACCTGGAAGGTCAACCAATAACCTAGCCCCGCCCTGTGCGTTTGCAGCTAGCAAAACACCAATAAGAGCGAGAGTTAACTCCGCAGGACCTGTTGGTTTTCTACATACGCGCCGGCCGGGGGAGGGTTGGTACGACCACCTCGTCGTTTTTCGCCCCTGATGGAGTTAGAGCGTCGCGGAAAAAACGAGCGTGTGTGCCGTTAGGAGACACAGCAACTAGTACCGATTTTAAGGTCTCAGGTCAACCGGTGACCTCTGAGGTCAGGTCAAGTGACTCAAGACACGGGTTCGGTTTTTGATTAATAACTTCTTTAAAAAAAAAAACAGTAGCAGAGCGCGATTTTAGCATCAACGTGCTCGCCTTGCTCAGGCGCGTCAAATGGTATACTTTTTGTCCGGGTGAGGTCAACTTGAGGTGCTGACCTCGGGTCAAGGTAAGGTCAGAGACCCCTAGGTTGCGAAATTGGTCAAAGGAGGTCATGTTGCATAGTATTCGATTCGGTAGGTCTTCCTTAGTCCATAAGTGGCTTGACCGACTCGCTAGCAATTTGATCGGGAGTTATGGAGGAAAAGCTCGTATGACCCTAGTGACGTCATAAATGACGCAACGTCAACAATGCAAAATTGAAGCAGCTAACCTTGCAAGGAGTGCATAAAATCACGGTCCGTGTGCTTGATATAGTTTGAGATCGTTCCCGGCGGCAGAATAGCAGTTTTCATTTTTCTCAATTGACTTACCACAACTATTTCTCAAATGTCTCAACGAATGCTGGATTCGAAATAAGCTAAAAAAAAGCCCTTGAAATCGTACAATTTGAAACAGTCACCCGAAGTCACCAAACGTCAATGACCTTGACCTGACCGACAACTGACAAGTCAACTTGAAACCCATCATGATGCATGGGACAACCATCAGTTCACATGTTGGCAGTTTTATATGTAATCACAATAGAAGTCTGGAAACGCAATTTTATGTGCGCTCACATAAACGGCAAATCATTTCGGTCTGCCATGGTCCCAGAAATCAGATCAAAGGTCAAAGGTCATTGGTTTTCAGGATCATGAACTGTATAGGAAATGTGTAACCAGTAACGTAGATAAGTTCGAGGACACTCAAAGTTTCGTCGCGATTGGCCGCTTTTAGCGCGAGATAATCGCGAAAAAACTAACGAGGGGTTTTATCCGACCCGCACCACTAAAAGTGTGAGGTGAGGGATAACCCGCACACGGATAGCGATATCCATCACACTTACCCCAGTAACTATATTCTCTGCATGTAAACATATGCTGGCGATATAATGCAGCCAAAATTATCACAGTTACTTGCTTTGTCCCGGGCACCACATATACTCCTGAGCTGAATGTTCAAATTTTGTTCTCCTTTTCTTTTAATCTGAACTAGATTGAACAAGATTTTCATTGGACAAGATTGTTGACGGCCCTCCTGTGAAACGAGACTCGATGAATTTTTAAACTCCCTAGTTATTTTGTAACAACCCTAGGTTCGTTGCATACTAACTAGGGAGGTTGCAACGACCCTAGTTTCGTTGCAACGTCCCGGAACGAGCAGTTATTTTGTAACGTCCCTAGGGTCGTTGCAAACAAACTGATCGTTCAGGGAGGTTACATCCACCCTAGGGTCGTTGCAAACTAACTGAAATCGCATACTCCCTGTAACATATATATATATATTTTTTAATCTGACCTGAATCTGGTTCTAAAATACAAACTGTGAACATGTGAAGTGAAGTGATTGTCATAATGTTTTTACTTTGCAACACAAGTATGCCCAAATGGAAAGAAAATATTTTCTACTTGCTATACCACTGTGAACACGTTTTGTAAATGAATTTTGGGAACGGATCTATCTGGTTCCAATTCTAACTTGGACCGTGTCTGACCGGTTCCAGAAATGTCTCAGTCAGACCAGGTCCGGATCTGGTTTCCATAATTTTCCACTTTTGCCACCTCTATTCCCGACACAGACAAAACCCTACTGTGACGCGTCAGTATCACACGTAATAATTCCAACTAGGGGCAGTTAATCTCAGCTTCCTTTTCCAATCCATGACGTTTTCAGACTCCCTCCCAATATCCGTCTCTTCTTTCTCTCTTCCCGCCGTCAGTTTGGCCTTCTCCCCGCCGTCGCGTCAGTCCCTTCCTCCTTCCAACACCATTATCCTCCATGCCTCTGCCGTCAGCATCCCCCCATTCCCCAAAAATATCCGCCTCTCTCCTACGTCAGTCTTTCCTCCTGCCGTCAGTCTCTTCCCTTCTCGAGCCAGCCTTTCCATCATCCTCGTTAGTTCCCCTCTTTCTCTCCCGTCCGTCTCTCCCTCCTCTTCCCCGTCCGGCTCTCTCCCGTCGTCCTTCCCCTCCTCACCGGCACCCCCGAGGCCAGCCGCAGCAGCTCGGGCCGGTCGCCGGTCCCGTTCAGACCTCCATACGGCCACATGGCCAGCTCTTCATTCAACGTCAGTGCGTACAGACGCTGCGAGGCCGGGTCTGCCGCCACCAGGCTCAGCCAGTCCGGATGGGCCGGCAGATCCACCCTGCGGCGCGCGCTGCCGTCCAGCTGAGAGACGATGAGCGTGCTGACGTCGGAGTAGGCCACCACCAGCTGGCTGGGGGCAGAGGGGGCAGGGCCGGGTGAACAGAGGGGCAGAGGGGGCAGGGCTGGGTGAACATAGGGGGCAGAGAGGGGAGGGGCAGAGGGGAGGCCCGGGTGAACAGAGGGGCAGAGGGGGCAGGGCTGGGTGAACAGAGGGGCAGAGAGAGCGGGGGCAGAGGGGAGGCCCGGGTGAGCAGGACAGCCCGTCTGCGACTTACTCGCCACACGAAAAAGAGCACCGCTTTCTGATTGTGTTGAAATTATGCAAATACCCTATACAGTTACTTCCCGAGTTCGTGACGGCCTGGGTCCATTTCGGAAATAAACACGTGGCAACGCTCCACAATGTGAGCAGCCTCAATGCACGTAAAGTGTGTCTTCGATTACGGAGAGAGCGGTGACGGCCGCGGTCTCTGAGCACTCTGCTCGGACGCACCTGTTGGGTATATCGACCACCATGGTCAGCGGCCAGTCGTCCAGCCGCAGCAGGGGAGTGCAGACCGTCAGCCGGCCGGAGCACAGCAGCACCATCCTCTCCTTGGACAGCAGCATATACCAGTTGCCGCCCACCCAGTCGTAGTGCAGCTGCTTCACGGCTGGGGGGCAGAGAAGGGCGGGTCAGTGAGCAGAATCGCCAGGAGGCACTGAACAGGACGCTGTAGCCTACAGGGTGACAGGTTTAGCGAAAAAAAAAATCCTTGGCTGACTACATTTGAGAAAGAAATAAGCGGCATGGAATCACGGCGATTATGAATTTCTGTAGTGTCAAAACCACCTATCGCCTTACAAGCAAAGGGCCGTGTCGGTCGCTCGGTCATCTACTACTCACTCCTGAGGTTAATGTTGTCTGGCGGCCGCAGAGTCCATGTTTCCGTGAGGTTGCTGACGGCCGCGCAGCTCAGACCATTATCGGCAGAGACCCAGCATACAGAGCCGTTCCTGGCGACATGGTAGTGATGGGTCAGGGTGGGGTTCGAGCCAGGACACTGGTCTCACATATTCCCTGACGTTTCGTCAGACGCTTCTGTAGCCCGGCGGACTGCGGGCGGAGCGGACATGGGTCGGACCAGCGCGCCGCCGCCCACCAGCACCCCTTCAGTCCGTCTTTATTCCCTCTACTCCTCTGTTCCTCTGTCAAACAGTCTCCTGTCTCTATGTCCCACCCGTAGTCGTAGTTCCCGTCTCACCTCTGGTCTTAGTCCCTCTGTCCAACACTTAATCCCCTGTCCCACCTGTGGTCGCAGTCCCTGTCCCACCTTTAGTCCTAGTCCCTCTGTCGAACACTTCCCCTGTCCCACCTATGGTTGTAGTCAAGCGCCACGCCGGCGCTCCTCTTCTGCAGCGGTCTCCACGCTCCGTCTCCGGCGGCCAGTGAGCCATCCTCAGTAGAGACCCGCAGCAGGAGCTGGTCGGCGGCCACCAGAAGAGTGGCCGGCTCATCCGCCGGCTCTGGGGACACACAGGTCAGAAGTACAGCCGGTCAGGGGTACAGTGGGCCAGAGGCACAGCCGGTCAGGGGTACAGTGGGCCAGAGGCACAGCCGGTCAGGGGTACAGTGGGCCTGGGGTACGGCCGGTCAGGGGTATGTACAGTAGGCCGGCGGCCACCAACAGAGAGGCCGGCTCCTGCGGCGGTTCGGAGGGCACAGATATCAGAGGTAGGTACAGCCAGATATGGTACAGTCTGTCAAAGGTACAGTCAGAGATACAGCCGGTCAGGTCTCCCAGCTACCATCCATAACTCCACAGTCCACATCCAACCAAGTCTTGCTGGCAGCTGGCCGGTTTTGTTTAAAAACAGACAGTCAGATGACTCTCCAGTCTCCACTGAGTAATTACGACTTATGAAACTGTAGGACATCCTTGTGATAGCTTGATGTGCATTGGCTAGCGAGGAGCCCAAATATAATCCATCGATGGCGGAAGGATACAGGCATACCAGTCGCCACTCCTATTGACCGAGAGGCCCGTCGGGGACCATGTCTCCGGGTCGGGCCACTCGCGTGACTGCCCCAGTCAGGCGGCGCGGCTGAAGCGGCGCTCGTTCCGATAAACTGGTCGGCGGCGCCCGTGGCCGCTCGCGTGTCTCCGTTCAGGTAATGTCGCCGGACCGTGTCGCGCCGGTGGTCATTCGGCGGTCCGGCGGTCCGACACGCCACTCGGCGCCGGGCCATCACACGGACCGACCGTGACGGAGGCCGAGGGGGCACCGGAGACGCGGCGGCTGGTGGGCGAGCGTCGAGCGACCATACCGCCACTGCACGGACTCGGACCCCGGTCAGCCAGTGACAGTAGTGACCTGCACGTTCCATGTCCAGTGGCTTCACGAACCCCACCAGGACAGTTAACGTCCGCTGTCCAGTGTCCCCACTCCCCACTACGACTGCATAAAGGCTGGTCCGGTCTACTGTCCAGTTTTCACACAGCGACTACATAAACCCCGGCTCCAGACTTCAGCCGCCGATAACACCGCTAGGCGATAACACTCTTTGAGCTGCACAAATGGGCAGATAAGTGATTATAGAGCGGTTCTCAGAGATATCGGGCCCATGTTTCACTCAGCACTTTTGAACAAGCCCTTGGTTCCTCTTTCACTCCTTGCTACCAGCTACAGGTAAGTCCAAATGACGTAACCACCGAAAATGGTAGGCAACACGTGGTCGAGGGAACTTGACAGTCGTCGCGAGACCGCTGGCGATGGACCAGATTATGTCCGAACTGACAGCAGGCGGTCAGAGAATGATTTATGGCAGAACGAAACCGGTCCAACCAGGTCACAACCACAGCAATCAGTCTGTCGAGCGAGTTGGCTGATTAATTGATAATAAGCGAATGAATGACTTCATCGATTAAGTCGCCGAACATGTTTTCTGTAATAAATGCCACATTTTATCGTACTGAGGATGAGCGTGCGAATAATTGCCGGAGCTTGCAACAAATATAATATATCATGGCAGTCTTATTCCCTTCTTTAGGTAACACTCATCTCGCCACAGCGTACAGCTAACATTCAGACGTTCGCGTGAGCGTAACAAAAAGTAGACACTCTTCAAAAAGTACTGTGGACAGTCATCAGAACATCACTGTCAGTCAGTCAATGCTTGAGACACACACAGCCGTCAGATCAGGCCATCGCCGGGCTCACGCTCCTCGATGTAACGTACCGCTGACGGGTAGACAGCCGTCGGAACGCACTGCTGCCGGTCACTCAATGCTTGAGACACACATAACCGACACAACAGTTCGTTGCCAAGCTATTAGTAATTTTGGTCAGACACACGCTCGTTTCAACTTACCGTTGACGGGCAGGCAGTCATCCGGGTCCGTTTCGGACTGTGTGTATCCCTCCTCGCAGGAGCAGCTGTAAGACCCAGGAGAGTTGGTGCACCGCTGACTGCAGACATAGCTCTCACACTCGTCCCGGTCTGTGGGCATGGAGAGTGTGTGGGGTCAGAAACTAAGCGATTGAGAAGATAGAAGCTCAGGGAGTACGGGTAAAAAAACTCAGGAAATACGGGTCATAAACTCAGGGAGTGCGGGTCAGAAACTCAGGCTGACAAGTAGAAGCTCAGGGAGTACGAGTCAGGAACTCAGGGAATGATGGGGTCGAATCTCAGGGGGTAGGTATGGTCAAGTCAATTCGCGGACACGAGCGGTGGAGTCAAGAAGTCAGGTTGAAGTTCCATAGAATGCACAGGGTAAATACGACCAAAAAGAGTCAGCATGAAAGACAAAAGGTAAAACATAAAAAGTACCGAACAGGACATTGTCGATTCTTATGCGCGCCCAAACTTTCAATGAGCCCTGGCATCGGCCAGCCAGTTCGAGTCTTAGACCCTCGAGTTCGAGTCTTAGATATTCGGTTTTCACGTAGTGCCCTCTCCAATCTGACGGCCCTGGAGCAGTGAGGTACGCGTATGCATCGTCGAGGGGCAGAGACGTGTCTCCGTGCTGACAAGTTCACTCAGTCTCATTTATAAACATGTCGGTGATCGTTTAACTGCACGGCAGGGGTTCAGCTGCACCACATAGTCACCGTTCGTCACCGTTCGAGTAATCGCCATCTTTTATTCGTGGCACACGTCTGCATTACAAAACGGGACGGATTGAGCTTATTGAGAGTCACACGGTTGAGCTAGCTGACCTGACATGTCTCACCGTTATCACAACGTGATACAATCAGAACACATCAAACCAGCAGGACGGTTGGAAAATAGTCTGCAACACTATATCAACCAAAACGTAAGGACCACCGAGTTCGAGTGTTCACTTATATAACTTTATATAATTCCGCCGTATAATAGGCGACAAACGCCGAACCACGGCACACGACAGAGGGCACACGACGGTTCCCATGTCGGCACCTTGCATGCCGCACCGAACAATGGCCATGTTCTCAACCACAACAGGCGGTCCGACACGACGCCAGTCGCTCTCCGCGGAACTCACAGTGATTGAACATCACAAAAACGGATCGACCGACAGCTCTGCTCAGACTGTTCCGAGGACCCACCGGGGCAGCCACCGTCGCGACCACGCCGTGTTCCGGCTGGGCTCATCCTCTCAGGTTGGTTCCGGCACTCACGGCCAATTTGTTGCATATTCAGCACGCAAATGGCCCATTGTCAGACCAGTGCAGACGGCGGGCGGGGATAATACGCCCACTGTCCTGTGGCACTCCTGAATGGATTACACGGGGAGGTAAGGTCTTTACTGGGTTTAGGATGTTTCCATGGCGTCCATGGCGACTCGGTTCTGCTGGTGGAGGTCAGAAGGGCGGTATAACACAACCACAGGTCATGACCATGAGCTTCGGTGGCAAACATCAACAAACTCCGATAGAATCAACTCCACCTCCCTCTGGGCCTGTCCAGACAATGTTGACGGCCGGCGCATCAATGTCCAATATCAGTACGTCAGTGGTAGTTAGTGGGAGCATACGACGGCCGGTAGAGACTCCGGACAGACACCGGGAGTAGTAGAGCTGACACCCGCCGCCGAGCCAGTCCCTCGGCGACAAACCCGGCCGTCGCCGCTCAATTTCAGCGAACTCGTCCAACTAAATCCGGACAGCCGCCGCTGCTCCCGCCGCTGCCGCTGCAGCCTGCTGCCGCTACCGTCTTCCAGGTTCCGCGCTGGTGGGATAACGCTCGAGATTGAACACCAGGAAATGAAACAGCTTAAGTGCCGGCATCTGTTCCCTCATGAAATATTCCAAGTTGGATATATAACAATGCGTCGGCAAGGCAACTTTAGAAGTTACTAGACAAAACAGATGAAACAAGTGGGGGATCCAAACCGGCTACACCACATGGCACCAGGCCATCATTGTTGAGGATAGATGAGCCACTATAGTGGTGTTCTACCGTCAGATATTAAAGCAGCAGCCCGCCACCGGCCAGCCGGGCGGCATGAATCGCCACGAGAGCAGCTTCCTACCGCCAGGAGAAATCAATACCGCCTCTGAGAGCCGAGAGCGCCGGCCGTCCGCGAGCCGAACCGCCTCCGAGGGCGGCGGCGGCGGCGGGAGTACGAGCGACGGTTACAGACACGCTGTTGAGTGTTCAACTGCACTCGGGCTTGACTCAGTCGGTCCAAGGCACCCGGGTGGCTACGGCGGTGCGGGAGTCAATGCTAGAGTCACGCTGTCCAACTTCACTCTGGCAGACTACCTGCCACCAGGGCCTCGAAATGGACTCAGGAATTGAAGTGGGAAACGTCGAACAGCAATACCACAAAGTCATGTGACCCCATGACTGCCGCTCCATTCAGACTTGCACACTCTCGCCCCTCCCACTTATCATCAGCGTTTCCATGCAGTTGTTATTCATCACCAGTCCGCACCATGTCATGGCTCATTAAAGTGTCTTATAACCCATGACATCGACCACTTACAGTATATTTGGCAATATTTGGTAAGGCGGGCCCAGCCCACACATACCATCCTCACAGCAGCAGGCTAGCGAGACGCCTCGCCGGTCTCGCCGGCCTGCAGTGACAATAACGGCGCACTCTCAGTGAGGTATGTCGGCCACTCTCACGGCAGCAGCCGTCTCGGACGGTGCTACGGCGTCTGACGGCCAACCCGAGGACGACAAACAGCTCTGCCCGCCCCGAGAGGACCATACGAGGAGAGAGCCGACACTCGACCGGCACTTGGCGGCGGAGGGAGGCCGGGATTGCTCTCCGGTTGATCGTGGCTGAAAACCGACATAGAAGGGCCCAACCGGTCGGAGCTGGAAACGAGACATGGCCAGGCTGTCAAAGCTGACCCGGATGCAGAGATCCGACGACAAACTTGGAGTAATGATCAATCAAAGGTCAGACAGGTCGGGCGCTGATGCATCAGTTTAAGGATCACCGAAAAGTCAGGCGGGTCGGGCGCTGACGTGCATGCACTCCCTAAGCGCTGACTGATATTTGTTTTAAAGATGGGTCATGGAACGGGACTTCGAGCCCATCCGGGTCTGGCTGGGCTGATGCATCTCGAGATGCCGCACAGGATGCATTAGTAGGCAGTCGTGAATGATTTGTGGTGTCAGCAGTCCATCTGAACTCCGACCAGCACCGGTAAGCATCAGGAGCAGAAGGTCAAAGTCCTGTCGCGTTCATGGGGTGGCGGCATGTCATCCCATTTTAGCAGCCCGAAGTGACTCAAAGACAACAGCATACGCCTCGGCAAAACAAAGTCCCAAATACCATTTATCAGCATAGCAATGATCGCTCCTCACTGTATTTCAGTTTTGTCTCATTAGCATATGACGCCTCCGGCTACCAACACCTCTCATCTCCACCCACCCACCCCTCCTAACGCTCGTCAGCCCTACCCAGGTGCTAGCACCTCCTACAGCGGGCGACACTCTGTCTGCAGCGGCCCGTATCCGGGGTATATCCACCACACCTCTCCTCCGACCTGAGACGAACCAGTCTCGACCCACGGCCGGCTGGACCCAGCCGAGCGGAGCCGCCTGCGCAGCCGGCCGGCACAATGAAAACAACGTCCATCACCGCTGCGACGGCGCCGACACCTCTGACGCTGCCGCCACGGCCGCTGGGTGGCCGGGTGACGGTCAGATGTGTCGACTCTTGAGTGCGGCGCAGAGGTCGAGCGATGAGGTTTGGCACATTAGAGCGTGCAGACGGAGATATACGGTCCCAACTGATGGCTGAAGGAAGCGGACGGAGGAGGCGCGGCCAGTCACGGGCCAGCTGGAAAATGGAGCCGTCCGGCGACGATTGAGATTTGTAGCGTCCTCCGAGCTCGGCGTCTCAAGTGACCGCCGGCGCGGCGCAATGCGGTCTCTCGATCCATCCAGCGTATCGTCGCCGCGCCCACAGAGTATCTCTCAATGAGAGTCGCTGCCCGCAGGCTTTATCGTTCAATTTCGACCATTTGTTGCAGGCAAGGTCGGCCATTGAATCCGGGCGGCTGTGCACGGACCGCCACCACGGCGGGCGCTCAGCGCTGAATGGTGAGCGCGCGCGGCGCGGCGCCGGCGGCCCCTCTGAACACCGCTCATCGGGGTGGCGGATTTGTATGGCCCGAGGTCGCGCGGACGGCCCTGGCAACGAGCGTCACCGTCACTGCCGCGCTGGTTCACGGCTCGGACCGCACCGCGGGGTGAACGGTGCGCGAATGGAGAGGAAACTCCGTCTCAGAGCACACATGGGACGTAACACAGCCGGTACTACGCGCGCCAACCCTGCCCTCAAAGAGCGGTACAAATGAGAATTGCAAACACACGTCTCTGGATCGTCAAAGAAGAATGGGAGACGCCTGTAGGTTCAATGACCGAACATCGATTGTTGCTCACAACGTGAGATTCTGAGGTCACCTGGGAAATATTATAGATACCTCACACAAATCTCACACAAGTCACCAATATCTCACGCACATCTCGCATAAATCTCACGCCTATCTCGCGCATATCTCGCCCACGTCTCCTACGTTTCTTCACGTTGAGTCACAGCGCCCCCCGTCGCAGCCGCTCCAAATATTTACCGGTCCATCACTCGACGGCCGATGCGAACGTGCCGCACGCACCGACGGGAGACCGTCGGCGGCGACTACCAGCCGCCCCCGCCCCCGCCCACACGTCAGCATCTTCCGGCGGCGTGTCAGGGTGAGGAGCTGAGACAGCCCGCCCGCCTTACAACCAGCGGGAGCTTGTAGAGGGAAGAGACTGCACAAAAGGCAGGGATGCTTGGAAAGACAGGCGAGGGTAGCCTGAAAAGGATGGAGGGTGTCGAAATCTCCAGGCTTTACCGACACGTTATTACAAACTACGAACTGGGCGTTGGGCAATAAAAGGCGCCAAAAATTGTGGTGATGCACAGACATTCAAAGAGACATAGAAGTAAGTGAATCGACTGAGTCAAAGCGACAGCAGCACAGTCATACGACTCGCCTGTTACCAGCTACCCCAGTGCGCAGCGGATGATCGCATCTGAGTTGGATTGATTGAGCGCGGGCGTAGCGCCATAGACTCTGTGGAGCTCTAATCAGCCCAACGGGCCATCAAACCGCTGGCTAACCAGATGTCACCGCCATGCAGTGTCGCAGTTGGTGCCAGTCAGCGTGAGCATCTGGGAGGCTCTAGGCTCGTAGGGGGTGAACTCGTAACTCGGGCTCACGCCTCTGCCTGCCACCAGAGGACACAGGAAAGAGCCGTGTCATCATCAGCACGGGCGCAGCTGGACCGGACGACGGGCGATTGGGGATTTGAACTCGAAATCGTCGGGACAAAGCGAAAAATGATCGGGCGCGATAGGTTAACACCAAATTGTGTCGACGCCCACCGCTATCGACAGCCAATACCCATTTCTCCGGAGAGCGGCGACGTGCGATCAGCGCTTCTTCAGTCGTCACACTGTGCACCCTACACCGGCCGGAGAGGCCAATACTAACCCCCGGAGAGGGCCCACGATAGTACATACGTCACCCCCTGGTGTAACTCATTTCCAGCGCCGCTGCAGAAGCCATTACGACACATAAGCCTGCATAAGTACAACATCATCTAACATCCATTGGCATGCAGCCGGTTTTCGCAGTGTGCCGGCTCTCGGCAGCAGGGGTGGTTCATCACATCACCCCTCCCACGGCCCCTGTCTTCCTCGAACGCCCGTCAGCTTTATATCAATAGAACGACAATGGATGACAACTGGCGTGACGGCCGTAGGAAGATATGTGATCCACGCTATGGGCGGCACCTCCAACGCATTTGCGATGATCGTAACTGAAAGCGGCGCAGCCGAGACGAACGCAGCGCACCAGTCGATACAGTCAAGTGTTTGTCGTCCGTTCACAAACAATTCGCTTCCGCCGCGCGAAACAAACAGCAGCGGGCGCCGGGAAGGCCCACGGCGGCCGATTGTCGGGAGACAAAACAGCGGCTCCTCGGAATCTGGCGGGGCGGAGAAACGATGGACCGTGGTGGAAACACGATGGTGTGAGGCGGAGAAATGATGGTGTATGGCGGATAGGAGGATGGATGGATGGGAGAGAGAGGACGACAAATGGGAGGGAAGCGGAATGAGAGCAAGAGACTGAGAAGGAGAGAAAGAGAACAAGGACGGAGACAGAGACAATATTGAGACAGAGACAGGAACAGAGACAGAGACAGACTGACTTACCCGCACAGAATGGGAACTGGTGACCGGCGGGGCAGAAGCAGAGAGCGCCGTAGCCGCGCGGATCCGGCTTACATCCGTACAGACAGTGTTTCTGCTCGCACTGTGTCCGATCATCTGTAACAGGCCGCAGGCCGTACGGGTCAGTTGGGGGGTCAAGCGGCAAGCGGCAAGCGGTACGAGAGCGGCACAAGTGAGTTGGGATCAGAAGGCGGGGTCCGTGAGCTGTCGGTACGGGTCGGCGATCACAGCACCAGTAGGCAGGGTTCCGTCGGCACTCGGACCGCACGTAGGCGGTATCAGCTGGAGGGGGGGGGGGGGGGGGCACGGTACAGTCAGCTGGGGGAGGAGGGGTTCAGAAGGGTCTGTGGGCGAGGTCTGTTGACTGTCACTCATCGCACAGCCATCGGACAGAGCAGTCATCGAGCAGCCATCGGACAGAGCAGTCATCGGGGCGGTTGAAGGGTGGATACAATTTTGGTCACTCGCGTCAGTCGGATGTCAGTCTCAGTGCCAGTTATCCGCGTTGGGTCAGCGGAAACCTCAGTAGCGAACTCGGTCTGTCTGTCAATTTGTCAATGAATTAGCTTTAATGGCTCATTACACAACTGTCCAACTCAAGTTTGAAGATATGAGAGCTAAAAGTACTTTTCGCTGGCGCGAAAATGCCTCATATGTTCAAAACTCAGCCAATTGCTGTTGGCTTTTCCAGCCCAAGGCAACTCGTGAAGTCCATTTGGAGGGCCGCCAGCGGCCGCTCCGTGAGCCGAAAAAGATAAACAGCTGCCTGCCACAACACTCCTAGATTTTCCGTCGGGACCTTTTTATTCTAAGCAGTAAGCCAACGATAATACGCAGTAGGCACGTTATCCACCGTACAATCGAATTTGAAAACAACAAAATGATTAAATGAAACAAAAAAGCGATGAAAATTATTTGGAATAGTGAAGCTGCCATTCCGGCGTAAGTTCCCGCCTGGACGACAGGCTGCCTGACGCCGGTGTCGTTTACACGCACCTACATGCCCATTGACCAGTTTTACTCCCCGCGGTAACACACAACTTATCACTGCAGCACCAAATTCGGAGCCGCCGAGCTTCGCTGCCGCTAAGTGGCCCGTAAAGATACCACATTCTCGGCCAGTGACGTCGAAACGAAGCCGCAACACTATGATTAATCGCTGCCTTTTAGAGCCGAGTCGGCTGCCTTCTGGGTCCGTCGACACCAATCAGAAGTTCTGCAGGCGAGCACGCCCCGCCGGGCCGCCCAGCACGCCCCCGCCGTACCGGGAGAGCGGCGTATATCACGGGCCATCAGCGAGCGTGAGTCAGGTGCCCGAGTAAGGCGCCGCGCCAGCCTGAGTGGCGGCTAAGCGGCCCATTTTTACACGCTGAGAGACGTCACTATCTGCAGATTTTCCCAATGCGGTGTAAACTCGCCCGTGTTACTAAAAATACATTTAATAGGTCCATATTTCATAAGTTAACCCGCCAGGTGGCTTTGATAAACCAAGTAAAACATAAGAGTTATACTCATGCAGGTATGAAACTACATCGATGTAAATGGGGAATATTTGTTTCTGGTCCCTAAAAAGCTGTTTCTGGCACCTAATTGCTGATCAGCCCCAAAATGCTTATTCGACCCTAATATCTGAATCTGGCACCTAATTGCTTCCACACAGCCTAAAGTTGCCAGATCGTCTAGTTGAACTCCGTATTTGCTGTTTACTGATTCAGCACCAAAACCAAAACATCCAGCACCTATTTTATTCCACGTTTGCCTACCTAATTCGCGTAATCTTCCTGATTTTATGTATCCTAACAAACATGAACGTTGCATTCGGTGATGTCAAGTGCCATTTTCGCCAGTGGAGATAATGATTAATGCCATTTCTAGCCAAAAGAGAATCACTAGCCAGCTATGGTGCAGCATAGCAAGACGCTCCTATACCAGCCCGCTATGTAGAGACTAGAGATTATTGCACCCTCAGCCATTTTAACGTGAAAAGTTTGGATCCGTCACTTCCAGCCAGGCTCTCAGGTCATAAACTGGAGTAAAGCAAAATGTAAACTCTGAACAGACATGCCACGCAACCGGCCCTCTTTTCAATATTATTAGCTTTCTGCAATCATCGTCTGACTCCATCTCGATCAAACGCAGCATCCGGTTTCTACAGGGGCGTTTGACTGACCGGCCACAAAATAACCAAAAACAAAATCAAAGCTTCATGCACACATATGACATAATTAAGAAACGGATGAAAAAGGCACAACCACGGCACAACTCTGCGCGGCAAACAACGGACAATGTCCCACGCAAGATCCCGCGTTTCTTCAGCGGCCTTGAACGGGATGAAAACATTACATTTCTTTTTTGGAGCTATTTGATGACGTCAAAAAATACAATACCCGTTTTAATGGTCAAAATCGAGACAATTACTCACAAAAAATGTTTCCCTTTAAGCATTACAAATAAATGCTTTTAAATATTTAAATGACATTGTTTTTTCAAACAAATCAATATTATTTGCTTACTTAAACGTCATATACAATGCTGAGATCACTACGGGGCTGTCAATTAGAGTGTAGCTGCACTGGCAACCTTTAGGCTAGACTCTAGGGGTCATTATACCAGAACAACATGATTCTACCAGCCAGTAGTTCATTTTTCTACTAGATTGGTGCTACGCTCAGCATTTAGGTGCCAGATTCAGAAAAAAGAGTAAGGCGTACCGATTAATAGGTGCCAGAAACAGCTAATTAAGGTCATTTTCCATGATTGGTGCTGGTATCCACCAAATAGGTGCTGAGGACCAATTTTGGGGCGAGTCAGCTTTTAGGTGCCAGAAATAGCTTTTCTGGGACGCAATTAAATGGCGTCCGATGTAAATGTGCTTATGCATCACAAACGCGCCATTTCTTTCTTGTGTCGCTCATTATGCCTCTATCCTAGCTCTGTTTGCAGCGTCCAATAAAATTCTGGACAGCCACCATCGTCAGAGAACACGTCTAAAAGGCGTGCTCTGAAAGACAGAGATACGTCCCAACGGACGACAAATAGGCTACAAATAGACAGCCGACAGCAGCTCTCAGACAGCGGACATGACGTCTGAAGGGGACGGCACGCGGCCTGCATACTGTCTCACCAGACCACCCCGAGGGCCAGGCGGCTCCGGCGGGCCGCCCGCTGACCAACGCTCGATTGGCGGCAGTGCTTCCTCCGCGGCGGGTGGTTCGGATAGAATAGATACTCGTATAGCAGCGTAAACCCACCAACCCAGTCCAATTATCATCTTCTTTGTATTTTATTCCCACGTCCATGTCTTATGCCTTTTATTGGAGCCAGCAAAATGAAGCTTTAAAGCGCACATTCCTTCCACATCCACGGGATTTAGAGCAGCCGCAGAAGTTGCACCACACCAGTGTTGGTAAACATTGCGGCTACCCGCAGCATCCCGGTACAGTATCGCTTACCTACCGCAAAAGTCACCACCCCGCTATCCCCTACAGCATTACTCACTGACCGCAAAAGGCACGACCCTAGAAGCCCCAGTTCAGTAGCACTCACTAACCGCAGAAGTCTCGCCACTTCAGTCTTCTGTCAGTAAACACCGCGGTAACCGCAGCATCCCACAACATCGTTCACTTACCGCAGAAGTCGCCCTCGTCGCTCCAGTCGGGACAGTCCCGCGACTTGTCACACAGCATGGAAATGGGCCGGCACGTGATGCCATCGCCACACAGGAACTCGTTTGGCGAGCACGGCCTCTGCTTACGGCACACTGCGGGTGGACAGAGACAGGGGTCAGGTCAGGTCACAAAGATACCGGTCAGTGCACATCAGGTCAAAGATATATACGGGTCAGGTCAGGTCACAGATATATAGGGGAGACCCGGGAGGTATGGGCCCCCTGGAGGTATGGGCCATCGCAGTTTTGAAGAAGTGTTGCGTATTTTTACACGTTTGACCGTGTAAACTGGTAGCAGCCATTCCGTTATACAACCCATGTGATTTTCACATTCTTCCTCAATCTTCTTTGGCAATAAACGGTGATAAAGCGTTTTTTGCCCTCTTCGAGTAAAATACTCTACTTACAGATAATTCGTGATAAATTTGAACCAGGCTCGTTTTATGATGTCAGACCAATGCTAACATAAAGTTTAAAGCATGCAAATCAAGACTGGATGGACAATTTGAAGCTTTCTTGCAAGATTATGAGCTGAGATGCTACGCAAATTCTGGCGTCCTAACCGGGAGGTTCGGGCCACCCAGCCCCGTTGATCCTAAATCAATAAAAAGATGCTTTCATTGAGTGCCATCTTCAATAAGTTTTTTTTTGTCGCGTATGGTTGAAAATTTAACTTCAAATTTCATTCGAACAGAAAAATATTACTCATTTTATTTCATGGTGCATGATTGAGTTTACCAAAATACATATGTGCCCAAAGTGACCTCCATGAAGTAAGCTGTTGGCCGCTTATGCGGTTCCTGGGCTCTAAGAGAGATCAAGGTAGATACCAGCTACGAGTATTGTTCTCATTGTCGAGAAAAGAATATGAAACATGGCACCGGCCCATACCTCCCGGGCCATGGCCCATACCTCCCGGTGTATTTTGATGGATCGAAAAAGCACATGATTTATTGAAAGTTATCTCGAGACAAAATAGTTGATCCCAGATGCCTAATATCAGGCACACTTTGCAGGCGAAAGGCAATTTCACGTGCACAGAGTGAAAAAACGGGTCTAGCCACTGTCCACTGGAAGAAAATTGCCTTTTCACAAAACCGGCCCATACCTCCCGGGTCTCCCCTACGGGTCACGTCATGTCAGGTTGGTATACGCTTGGATAAGGTCCTTCGATGCACGAACTCTGCTTGTAGCTGCGGGTAAACGAGAAGCCCGCCATCTGAGAAGACCACAGAACAGAGGTTTCACATAAAAGTCCACATATAGAGCCACAATTCAGGCAAACGCGTGGTGGTTGCGCTAGAGTAGTGCTTGAAAATTAATGACAAATAGGTACACTCGGGGGCAGATTGATGTTCCACCACTCCCTACCCATCGGGCTCCCATGGCTCAGCACTGGCTGCTGCCAGTGGCAGCACTGGCAGCACTGGCACTGGCAGGCAGTGCTGAGTAGTGCTGAGGGCAGGCAACACTGGCAGCAGCCACTGCTGATCCATGGGAGCCCGATGGGTAGGGAGTGGTGGAACATCAATCTGCCCCCGAGTGTACAAGACGATACACAATACAAAACTGGCACAAACCACCCTGAACTGCTACTTACACCCAATCAATACCTACGGGGCCTCATATAAAGCTAGCGAAGCTTGCGTCTCACTGATAGCGCGAATACAGGGAATCCCATGGATCTAGAGCTAAGAACTTGGTAAGCCTGCACGGCCCCTGTCATCTGCAGGGCAGTCTGTGACGATTGGGCTCAGGCTGGACGCCGTCGGCAGTTCCCAGGGCGGTCCGCGCGATCTAGCTGGAACTCCCGTCCAGCTCAGTCTCCGTCTGTCCGTTTCTGTCAGTTCATCTCCGCCAGTCAGTCTATTAGTCCGTTTCTGTAAGTCAGTCTCACTCAGTCCGTCTCCGCCAATCGTCTCCTTATCAGTCCGCCCAATCGGGCGGTCATCAGTCAGCACCAATAACGAGCTGCTGGGTGATTGCAGCCCATTAGCGGAGTAGAATACACACGGGTGCACCGGTATATGTGCACAGCTAAACGTCGTCTGAGATCAAACACTGTCCGGCCCCCAAATAGCAGCTCTCAACACCAATGATGCAACGTCAGATGACTAGTGCATCCCTAGACAAGTTAACTGCTATCCGTTTATAGAACCTTGTATACCGAGGTCTAGACAGAGGTAAATGTCGGAGGAAAACATTAACAGCAAGACTCAGTAGGGGAGAGTGGAGCAAAGCGGCCACCCTAACGCTTCTCACGATGCCAACGCTTGATTTTTAAACTTGGAAAGATTCTTTCTATACCAATGTGATCCCTAGTCAGTTGCCTTTTATTTCAACTGCGTTTTATTTCCAAAGGCGTTCACATATGAAAGATATTGACAAAACTTTAAACCTATGCATATTGGCCACTTTGCCCCATACCCTGGGGCAAAGCGGCCACCGGCGTCTTCTTAAGTCCCGATATGAGAAACAAAATAGTTGCCTGGTGTACGACTAGTGTATTTGATGGTGACAAGGTTAATCGAGGATGGATGTTTACTTTATCATCTTCCACCTGTAGGTAAGCAAAGAAAGGATTTTCATGAAAATAAACATTTAATTGCATTATTTGGTAACTCATGCAACTGAAAAGTGGCCAAGATGAATGCATGACGACACATTTCAATATAAATAATGTTTTTATCCAGATGGAAGCAACTTATGGCCAATTGGGGGGTGGCCACTTTGCCCCGGCCACTTTGCCCCGCGCATACCGTCCGAGACAAAAATATTCCAGCTTAGCTATTAGTGGGGTAAAAAACATTAAAATTGGTAGAATACATGTACGATAACCATGCAATGCATGGACAAGAACGCTTATAAAAATTCCAAAACGGTTATGGAATAACATAACATTTAAAAATTGTAAACATAGTTGGTAACCTGGCAAGAAATGTTTTTCCGTGTTTCACAGAACAATGGTGATGGCCTGAAACCCCGGTCTGGCTCATTCGAACGACCGTGAAGAGAAGTATAATTGGAAACCATAAATTGGAACTGACGCCAGCTATGAAGGGCTAAAACGATGGGTGGCCGCTTTGCCCCGGGTGGCCGCTTTGCCCCACTCTCCCCTACAAGACCATTTGAAGCCCACGTAGAGAAAAACACGTATGACTGCGAATCATCGCAATAACGGTGTGTATAGCAGATGATGCGAATCCCTAATGCATATCCACAACGCATATGCATGTGTTGAATGCATGATCCAGCATGATAGAACTCGTCATGAAATCACATCAGACCCAGCCAACATGCGCAGTAGGCAAATCTTCTTCCACGACCCCAGCACATTTATGCACAAATTAAATCAACCCGGAGCCGGGCGGTAGCCGACTGCCGACACGGAATCGCCCAACAAGGTCGTCAGTTCCACTCGGGTTACGTAAGCCGCATCCCGCGCTGAGCCGAGCGCCGGACAGCGGCGAATGCGCCGCGCCGGCGACGGTCGCGGCACAGGTGAGCCGATCGAGGCGCACGACGGGAGAACGGGGAGACCGCGCCGGAGCGTCGCAAACGCCGCCGAAGGTCGCGCCTCTAATGGCCGGCCGAACCCTTCCTCCGCGCTAATGGCCGGCTAGACGGACAGTAAACGGCTCGGGCGGGCGGCGGGTGTCTATAGGGCCCAGGCGTCGGGCGAAGGGTGCGCTGTTCTTCCGGTGCCGGTAGGGGAGAGTGGGGTAATTTGGCCGCTTTTTTTAGAAAACGATGTAGCTCAAAATTGACGACACATTTCTGCATTTTCTCAACGCTGGCAGGTATCGCATTCATTTTACTTTACTGGACAGTGAACTTGAAATGATAGAGTAATTACTTATATTGAAATTGTGACGTATTACAAAGGTCTGCAAGGCGGTCAAATTGCCCCACTAGCAGGGTCATTTGGCCGGGGGTGTGGGGCATTTTGACCGGTGCTAGTTTGCGGTCGGGATTTTCTGTTATATTGCGAGTCAGCTTCAGATTCAGCAATGACGTGTGTCCTATGACGCATTTGCCGCATTTTGGAGGTTGACTCAGGGATCACAGGGGTCAAAATAGCCAAATTAGCGGCTCTAGATGCGAAGACAGTTTTTTTTACGAATAACTTTTGAAGTAATCGAGCTAGGCCAAAACTTCGAGTACCATCGTAATTCTCTCGTCAGTCCGCATCGAAACATATATGTGTTGACCTCGAGAAGTCAAGGTCAAAGGTTGACCTCAGGTCACGTTACCTCAGGTCGCTTGACCTCAAGGTCACGTGATTTCAAGGTCATCATGCATATCATTCGATTCGCCTTGGCGAACTGAACAGAATGAGACCATTTGTGCGGCTGTACCATTTTTATGTAAGGATTTATTAGCAAAAAACGTTTGGTAGCCTTTGATGACGTCACATGCTCTTACAGTTGACCAATCGGAAGTAAGGCATCAAAGTAGTCAAAGTTGGTCATGAATCATGTCATTTATGGTACAATTGACCATGAAAACTCGGCCGTCCTAGCATAGTGACCATGAGCGCACCGGCCAAGTTGCCCCGCTAGTCCCGGCCAAATTACCCCATATTGCCATTCTGAAAATTTTTGTCTATAAAGTCATCACAGCTATACGGAATTAGATGAAATTGCTCTTGAAATCGCTGAACACCCCCAAGAATGGCGCTATAATGTCTGAATTCGTTTTTAGCCCAAATACTACATGTTATACAACTTTGTAAACAGAAGCAAAAGTTGCCATTTTCTAATGAAATTTACGCTTTATTAATTTTGAATAAAACTACGAGGGGCAAAGTTTTGACATTTGTCATCCAGTTATTTCTACCCATGACAAATGAATAGAGACTAGAGTTATTTCACTCACTTTTATTAAACATGGTACAGGTGGGGGCGGCCAATTTACACCACCGGCCAAATTACCCCACTCTCCCCTACTGGTCGCAATGGCTGGACAGTGGACAGGGTAGGCCAGGAGATCACAGACGGGTGACAGGCTATTGTGACAGCTGATGTGACAGGTGACAGGAGACTGGTGAGCATTGTCGGCCGGCCCAGGTACGGCCCTCCAGCAAAAGAGTG